CTGTGCTCTCCCTAGTGGCCAGTGCCTGTGCGGAGTGCTCCGTGTGCACGTGTGCACTCACGCCCACAGTAAACCTCTGTGCTCCTCACAGAGGAGCCAGGGTGCTGTGTGTATGAGGCTGGAGCTGCATATGAAGCTTCTTGGAAGATCCCTGCATGTTTTCCAGGGTCAACAGAGTCCTGTGATCTCTGATAGAGGACACTGCTGAGGACCAACACTAATAATCTGAACTTGGTTTTGGTGCCCAGGTGTGTGCAGGTCAGACTACACAGGAAGGGGACACCACCAAGCTCCTTGGCTGCCCTCAGGCTGCCAGGGCCTAGTGAGGGCCCCACCCCTGGGAGCCCCCTAGCCAGCTCAGGGTCAGTTTGGAACCAGTCACTGAGTTGTGCATGCAGAGGTTGAACTAGGAGGGGTGTCTGGGCACTAGGTGGCCAGCGGTCAAATTCTGTCAGTGAGCCTGGTACCCAGGTGCTTGCAAACAGACCAGGCTTGTCCCACATGGGGGCAGGCGCAAGCCTGCAGGGGAGTGGGGTCACCTTAGCTGCAGACTGGGACCTGCTGCTAGAAGGGAGGGCGGGGCTTCAGCCAGTCCTGCCTTGTGCCTTCCTGGCTTCTTCCTGGTGTGCAGCTGTCAGTGTTGCAGAGCAGAGGTTGTGATGCAGGTGCGGCTGCTTTGGCCTGGCTTGATGCAGCCTGGATGTGAATGATTCTGTTCTCCTAAACCCCTGACCTGGAATACTGGTGCTTTCCTGCATCCCAAACCTGCAGACACATTCTACCAAAAAGCACCAGCTCATCCAGAAGCCATTCTCAGCCAAAATGAGTATGGAGCCTCTGAAAGGCCTCAGCTTAGAGATGCACTAGCAGCTCCCCTCCCGTGGTGAAGGTGGCCCCTCGGATGCCAGCTGGCCTCCAGGGCAGAGGTTGGGTGAGCAGCAGCTACCATGGGTAAGGTCCCATGACTCACACCCTGCTGCCTGTTCCCGTTGGTAGATAAGGAAACTGAGACTCAGGGGTGCCAGTGGCCTGCCCAAGGTCACAGGGCTAGCAGCTTGGAGCACAGCAAGGGGGAGGGTGTGGGAGGGGAGAAGGGCCAAGAGTGGTTTTCCAGCTGGGAGGGCAGAGGAGGGGAGTGGGGAGAGACCAGCAGGGCCCAGTGCTGCTCTAGGCTGGCTGCACACCCTCCCACATATGCCTATCAGAAGTGGCCCAAATTCACAGGAGGTTCCCAGTGCACCTGGCAGGCTAGCAGGACGGGGCCTGGGCTGTCGGTCCTGTCCCACGCTCTGCTCAGGCCTCCCAGGCACAGGTCTCCTGGCTGCCCTGGCCGTCAGCAGGCAGAGACCCAGCTATTCCTGCTGAGCTGAGGAAGGACCCTGTGGGGGGAGGTGCTGTCCTCTCTTCAGTGATCTCCATCTCATCAACAGGCTCGAGTGTGGAGCTTCCTTCTACGGCCTCTGAGGACACACAGATGGTGCCACAGCCTTGCTCTCGGCCTCACTCATGCTCTGTTGGGATCAGGGTGGCAGCAGAGGCCGGTCAACAGCAAGCTCTGTCAGATCATAAAATTCGCACGGAAGCCAGGTGCACTGGTGCTCACCCGTAATCTGTGATCCCAGTGATGCAGGAGGCTGAGGCAGGAGGCTTACAGTTTTGAGGGCAGCCTGGACAACTTGGTGAAACCCTGTCTCAAAAAATATGTAAATAAATGAAAAGGGCTGGAGTGCAGCTCAGTGGTGGAGCCCTTGCCTGGAGTGTGGGCCCTGGGTCCCATCCCAGCACACAGGACCCCAAACCACGAATGAACTGGGAACAATATGAAGAGGATGACCAGGAGGGCCATGATGGGAGGCTGGCTTGGGAGTCCAGTCATGGCTGAGGGTCAGGAAAGCCAAAGGGCAGGGCCGAGTGGAGTGGAGCCCAGGGGTTTCCTTCCTCCCCGTGGCTCAGGTGAGGCTCAGGCCAGGCCTGGCCAGTGCTTCCTGCACACCCACAGAGAGTGGCCCAGGCCCAGGCTGAGGGGCAGGCTTGAGTCACACTGGCCCTGGGGCCTCCTGAGGGATGCTGGGGGAGCATGTGGGGTCTTGAGTGGGCTGCAGTGTGTGTGGTTAGGTTTGAGCATCATTCTTGCTGTGAACCATTGGGGTGGTCAGTAGTCAACACCCTTGGGGCAACTGGCACTGTCCGGCCTCCCTGAGGCTGCAGTGGGTGGGTGGTGTGAGAGGTGGCAAGACATACTAATGGGTGGCTGTGGGTCAAGGACAGTGCTGCCCACCGGTGACCCAAAGGGAGCAGAGGTCGGGGTCGGGGGCTCTGGGGTGCTGGACAGGGTGCCACTCTTGTCCTGCTCAGATAGCTCAGCCATGAGCACTCCAAGCCACACACCTGTAGGGAGCCCGCAGAGGGAGCTGGCCCAGTCCCTTCTGGTTTCACCGGACTTCGGCCACAGCCTCCAGGTCCTCTGCACCTGGTGCAGACACAACCCTCTGATGTAGCATGTGTGTGCCACACTTGTCCTCATCCTCCCCTGTCTCCTTACATGCTCAGGCAGGTCCATGTCCATGACAGTGTCCAAACCCCCTCCTGAAGCCCCTCTCCCTTTCACAGAGGCAGTAAATACAGTGTGTGCTCTTTGGCCCCAAGGCCTTTGCATTTCAGGCCCCTGCCTGAAATGCCTCAGCTCCTCAGGATTGACACCTTTCTCAGGTCCCCTCTGGAGCCCATCTCAGACAGCCTTCCATGGAGCCGTCCCCTGAGGTTTGAATTCTGGTCACTCTTGTGGACACAGCACTCCTCCAAGCCCAAGTCCTCATCTGCTGCCTTCTCCTTTCACTATGCAGTCCGCCCTGGGGGAGAGGATGTGGTCTTCCTCTTCCTTCTTTCCAGCATCTGTCCTGCGCATATGTCCAGGTGGTGACTCCCTGACTGCCCTGTGTTAAGCCCCTCTTTAAGCAGAGCCCCTGTAGCTATGTGAAAAGAGGAGAGGGAGGAAGGACCCTGGTGGGGACTGTGCATTGTGAGCCTTGGGGAGCAGGTGGAGGTTCAGACCTGGGACCTGGTGGGTGCAAAGGGCTGGACTCCTGCCTGGTGCTCGCTGTCTGCCAGACCTGGGCTCAGGTGGCACCACCCCTTCCAGGTCTCCCACCACCTCTGCGGTTCCCAACACGGATGCTGTCCTTTCCCTGGAGTTTGGTGGCTGCGGGTTCCATCCTGCTTCAGGCCTCGTGATCTGGCAGTGCAAAGGTCAGAAGGCAGAAGGTGGGGGCCAGCAGGTGACTGGCTGTGGCCCAGGGGGCTGAGGTCACTCAGGCAAGCCTTGGGTTGTGTCTGAGCTGTTTCCTGTTCTGCCAAGTGGGTGATGGCTCTCAGGGACACCTGGAAAGGCTCTGTGGACAGGTGTGCTGGCCTCGCAGCCCCTCAGGGCATGTCCTCTGGTGGCTGCCTTACGAGGCCGTGGCAGCACCGGTGGGGGCTGCTCACAAGCCAGGAGAGCAGACGGGAGCCACTTCATGCCACTGTTGCAGGGCCAGGGCGGTGGTGTGGATTCATCATCAAGTGGCTGGGAGGCAGGGTCACTTTAAATGGGGCTATAGGAAGAGAGAACCCTGCTGTGCAGGGTCAGTGTGATACAGTGATGCTGTGCAGGAGTCACGGCTCCCACAGGAGGATGCTGGATCCCTGGGGTTGGGGCTTCTGAGCCAGGCCCTCCCTGCCCTGGCTGCCTCCCGTGGTTGCGTGGTGCTGGGGCACTGGGCCTGCGGCTGCCTGTCCAAGCCATGGTGGGTGGAGTCAGCGAGGTGGCCACGTGGCTCTGCAGGCATGTGCTCCTCTGTAGGCAAGGACAGTAGGAGTCTGCCTAGGACAGTGCTGCCCTGGCCATCAGTGGGCTTCTGAGGGTGCCATCACAGAGTCACCCACCTCGGGCACCTGGTCCAGGCCATGTGTGCTGTGCTGGCCTGTCACTCTCAGCTCTTACTTGACTCTGCATGACAGCCTTTCACAGCAGGGACTCTGGTGCCCGTTGGACAGTGCAAAAGCTAGGGCAAGGGGCAATTGAGAACGCCCTACCGCGTGGGTGGCTGCCTGCACCTGCCCACCTGCTCTGTGGCCAGCTTTCTTATCCGCATCACCTTAGTTGTGCCGTGGAGACCTTGTCTTTTGGAAACGTGTAAGCTGGTGGTAAAGGAAGGGCAGGCGTGAGGGACCAGGATTCTGATGAGCACCAGCTTTGAGGCCAGCTCGGGTTTTCCAAATCTGTGCTCTGCTGGCCCTACACACACACACACACACACACACACACACACGGCCCCCTGAAGGCCATTCAACTTGTGGTTTTTCCATTCACAATGGAGCAATACTGGTCACGTCTTTGGGTGGAAACCAACCCGTTGGTCTCGCTCCTCTCCAGGGCTGGTGAGGTGGGGTGGGTTTCTCCTGAGGTCTGGGCTGCAGCTCGTGGGCTCATGGGCCTGGGCTACGTGTGGCTGCCCCCAGGGCTACAGGTCGGCTTTTGATCCTGGAAGGGGCTACCGGCATGTGACCCTGTTGTGAGTCACGGAGTCTCAGCACACTGGCGATGTCTTGTAGACCAGCCCCCTCACATCACTCACTGGTGGGCTCAGGGTGCCCCGTTGGGCATGCCTGGCAAGGGTGCCCTTTCCTGGAGGGAGCTGCTCCTTGGTGGAAGTGGCTTACCCACAGAGCCACCCTAAAGTATAAGACAGTGGAAGCCAGATGGCCACTTAGCCACATCCCTGCCCATTTGTCCTCCCTGGGGTATGGGCTGTCGGCACTGGTGCTGCTGCGTTCAGGGAAGGAGCTGCTTGGGCTCTGCCGTGGGGCCAGAGGCCAGGCAGGAGGTGCAGCAGGACCGTCGCCTCCCCAGGGCACTGAATTCTGGCTCCTCCAGGAGGGAGGAGGGCCAGGGCTGGGCAACAGCATGTTCTTCCTGCATTTGGGGTCATAGGATGAGCATGTGGCCTGTCTTTGTGTTTTAGGTCCCACACGGAAGATGCCCCCCAGTGCCAGTGCCATGGACTTCTTCCAGCTGTTTGTCCCCGACAACGTGCTTAAGAGCATGGTGATGCAGACCAACATGTACGCCAAGAAGTTCCAGGAGCGATTTGGCAGCGACGGTGCCTGGGTGGAGGTGACACTGGCTGAGATGAAGGCCTTCCTGGGCTATGTGATCTCCACCAGCGTCTCCCACTGTGAGTCTGTCCTCAGCATCTGGAGCGGCGGCTTCTACAGCAACCGCAGCCTGGCCCTGGCCATGAGCCAGGCCCGCTTCGAGAAGATCCTCAAGTACTTCCACGTTGTGGCCTTCCGCTCCAGCCAGGCCACGCATGGGCTCTACAAGGTGCAGCCCTTCCTCGACTCCCTGCAGGGCAGCTTCGAGGCCGCCTTCAGGCCGTCCCAAACCCAGGTGAGCTGGGGCCTTGGCCAGCTGCTCCAGTGCCTGTCTGTGCCTGGCTGGTGGCGGGACTTGGGTTCTGTTCTCCCCTGCCCACCCAAGGTCCCTTCAGGTCACCTCTGCTGTTCCTTGTTCTGTTGACCCCTATACCAGTGTTGATTGGCGAGGATGACGGAAAGAGAGCTCCCACCAGAGTTGTGGCTTGCTCCTGAGGGGCCGCTGTCACCTTTCCAACTTTCCTCTCCCAAAGTGTGTTCTGCAAGCTGGCACCCCCTCCTCATATCCTCTGGACACGAGCCTGCTGGTGGTGGAGAGGGGCTGGACACCCGTGGCACAGGGAATGAGCAGGGACAGCAATAGACCTTCAGGTCCCAGGGGCAGCTTAGGTGCCAAAGGCCTACCAGGCTACTCTGCAGAGACCAGTCTCTGTACAAGGTTTTGTAGAGCCCAGGACCCCTCTGGTGTGGCTCCCTGTCAACTTTCCCACATTCGCAGGAGGTGGTAGCACTGGCTAACCTTAACTCCTAAGCCTCCCCGACTAGTGTGCACCTGTGCCCATAGCTTAGAACCTCCCCGCCTGGTGAGCACCTGTGCCTGTGGCCCAGAACCTCACCTCCTGGTGCATACGTGTGCCCGTGGCCCAGAACCTCCCCGCCTTGTGTGCACCTGTGCCAGTGGCCCAGAACCTCCCCACCTGGTGAGCACCTGTGCCCGTGGCCCCCAGCCTCCCCGCCTGCTGCACACTTGTCCCCGTGGCCCAGAACCTCCCTGCCTGATGCGCACCTGTGCCCGTGGCCCAGAACCGCCCTGCCTGATGTGCACCTGTGCCCATGGCCCAGAACCTCCCTGCCTGGTGCGCACTTGTGCCCGTGGCCCAGAACCTCTCTTCCTGGTGTGCACCTGTGCCCATGGCCCAGAACCTCCCTACCTGGTGAGCACCTGTGCCCGTGGCCCAGAACCTCCCCATCTGGTGTGCACATGTATGCCCGTGGTCCAGAACCTCCCCATCTGGTGTGCACCTGTGCCAGTGGCCCAGAACCTCCCTGCCTGGTGCGCATCTGTGCCCGTGGCCCAGAACCTCCCTGCCTGGTGAACACCTGGGCCCATGGCCCCCAGCCTCCCCGCCTGGTGCACACCTGTGCCCGTGGCCCAGAACTTCCCCGCCTGGTGTGCACCTATGCGTGTGGCCCAGCCTCCCTGCCTGGTGTGCACCTATGCCCGTGGCCCAGAACCTCCCCACCTAGTGCACACCTGTGCCCATGGCCCAGAACCTCCCCTCCTGGTGCACACCTGTGCCTGTGGCCCAGAACCTCCCTGCCTGGTGTGCACCTGTGCCCATAGCCCCCAGAACCTCACCTCCTGGTGCGCACCTATGCCTGTGGCTCAGAACCTCCCCTTCTGGTGTGCACCTGTGCCCATGGTTCAGAACCTCCCTGCCTGGTATGCACCTGTGCCCATGGCCCAGAACCTCCCTGCCTGGTGTGCACCTGTGCCCGTAGCCTCCAGAACCTCCCCTCCTGGTGTGCACCTGTGCCCATGTCTCAGAACCTCCCTGCCTGGTGTGTACCTGGGCCCGTGGCCCAGTACCTCCCCGCCTGGTGTGCACCTGGGCCCAGGACCATCACACCTGCAGTGAGATAGACTCTGGAATCCTCCTTGGAGTACCTTTCCTGGTCTGGCAGATTGGGAGGCTGTAGGTAGGGCAGGGTACGTCTAGTCTGGGAGGTGCAGCCTGGCTGTGGAATGTGGCTCACCCACGTGAGCCTGTTGCCTTGGTCCGTTTTGTGTGGAAAGACGCCTCCTTCCCTTCTGTGTCCAGAGGCTCACTGACCATGTTGTGTGCCTTCCTTGACGGACTTCTGATAGCCCCAGCCCTGATGTTCTCTTCTGGAGCCTCTCCTCAGCTCTACTGTCCCACCTGACCCCACCAGAAGCCACGGGCTTTGTGGGAGGACATCACCAGGTTTTAGGTCTGTGGGGGTCTGAAGACCCCCTGAGTAGCTCCCCTGCTTTCTGGAACCTGCTGGGCAGGCCCTCTCATGATGGCCAGGTGTTTGGGATGACTTTCTCTTCTGGGCAGATGTGTCCATTGTCCAGGCCCCACGGTGCCTGTGTTCCCCAGATCCTGATGCTGAGTCCCTCCCATGATGGGTGGGCAGCTGAGTTCCACCTGCCTACCAGTAACGACAGGTGCTGTCTCTGGTGGACACAGCACTGCCTCGTCCTCGGCCTGCAGGGCTTAGATGTGGTTTTTATGTCGCTGAACACTTGCGTGGTTGGGAATGACCCAGTGGGAGACATGTTAGCTGCACACAGGGAACAGAAACAACCACCTCTGACCATCCTGGGTCAGACGTCTTGGGGACTGCAGGCCTGTCATGTCCCTGCAGTTCTCAGGAGTCCCACGTCCAGCTCGTTGGTTGGTTGATGTGCAGAGTCTAAAGGCAGAGTTGCTGGGGACTCTCTGGCTCCCTGTCTAGGTGAGCCTTGTCCACGGTGGTGCTCACGTCTGTTGCATACCTACTGTGCGCTGGTCCTGGGCTGCCTGTGCACCCCTGGCTGCAGGCTCAGTCCTCTGTGGCCTGATTCAGGATGTTCACCATGCCCCTCTGGTACTCCTCAGGGCCCTGAGGGGACCTGAAATCCACGGACTTGTCCCTGGGCAGCACTGGGCCTGGGAGCTGGAGGGAGGCCCTGCAGCCCTTCAGAGCCCTGAGCAGGCAGCAGCTGGACAGCAGCTACAGGGCGGGTGTTAAAATGGGACACTCTGTCCCTCTGCTCAGGCATGAGGACGGATTTGCTCCAGTTCCCGGGAGATGCTGTGCCTGCTCCCTCTTGCCACCCTAAGCACCGCAGGCCCAGCCCACCACAGCCTTTGGAAGGCTTGCAGAGCCCCAGAGGACCTCCTGTCATAGCCAGGTGGGTGTGTGCCCCTGCCTGTGTGGCATCCAAACAAATACAAAATGGGACACGCTGCATTTTCTCAAGACCAGAGCCAGTGATCAGAGATGCCTGAGGGTTGTGCAAATAGGCAAATGGATGTCCTGTCCTTACACACCACGTGCCATCCAGAACACTCAGAGTAGGCCTTCATGCACAGGGGCCCTGGAAGTTGCACCTGTGACAAAGGCAACAACCTCCCCTGGGGGAGAGGGGACTTATGGTATGAGTATTTCCAGAGCTGGGCCCCTGTGCCCCTGCTGAGCTTCATACTGACCCATGTTCCCTTGTTGACAGGAGGGTCAGGTCTGGGGCCCCTGCTGGGCCTGCAGGGTGTCAGGCACATTTGTGCCCAAGGGGTGTGTGCTGCGGGTGCTGTGGAGTGTGCCTGCTGCTCTGCTGAACAGGAGGGCAGTTCTGTGTCCATGCCATTGCCCATTGTGCCAGAGTGGGTCCACACAGGCTGTGAACACCTCATGACTCGCACCCCAGTGATTCCAGAAGCCAGATGTGAGGGCCCAGGAGGCTGCAGCCAGGCATGGGACCCTGAGAGAGGCCGGGACCAGGCTCGATGTCCCCGTGCTTCCCACAGCAAGCACAGCGGGCTTGTCCCCAACTCAGACCCTGCAGGCATTCCACTATTAAAATGGAATTCCAGGTGATGGGAGAAGGGGGGCGCCATGCAGTTCCCAGTGGTGAGCACCTCCATTCCTGGTCAGACAGTGCTCTGACGGCACCAGGGACCCGGGGAAACAGTGTCAGCTGCTGCCTCAGTCCTGCTGGGTCAGAGCCACACGTGGGCAAGGTCCCTGGGTGACTTCTTTGTCGACAGTGTTCGTTTAATGGCATGGGGTACTTCAGAATGATGTGTCCCTGTGGGCCTGGTCAGTTCTGCTGCTGTGGCCCAGACACAGCCACAGACGACACATGAAAGAACGCGCAGAGCCAGTTCCAGTAGGACTTCGTTTACAAAGCAGGGGGAGGGCCAGCCGGGGCTGTGGCCTGCTGATCCTGACCAAAGCACTGTGACCGCTCCCGGAGCTGCATCGGTGCTGACCCCCTTTAGCTAACAGACACGTGTTCTGATTCACAGTTAGCTTTGGAACACAAGTGGGGTGGAAGGAACTTTGTAATGGGTTGGCAGGGAACCGGGTCACCTGAGGCGCTTATTGAGAGGGGACAGTCGGTCTGGGCAGAGGAGGCCGCAGGCAACAGAAGAGCTGACCTGAGACCCTAATGAGGGAGGTGGCAGAGCCCCAGCTTAGCCCTTGTGAGACCCCTGCCCACCTCAGCACGGAAAAAGACAAAGAGAGCCTGTTTCTCCTTTGTTTCTCACGGGTGGAAGTGGGCCCGAGGGTTTTAGATAAGTGTTTGTGCATTTTTGACTCTGCAAGAGAGAACTCCTCAGCCATGGAGCTGCCCACCATGGACAAGGTGTCCTGGCACAGAGATGGGCACCCTCCACTGGATGTGTCCAGCCAGAGACCGGAGGATCACTGCTGGGATCCCTCTCGCCAGCAGTCGGGACTGGGGACGTCAGGCCCTTATAGCAGTTCCACGGATGGCATTTGCTGTCAGGGTTTGTGCTCAGGGCCCCTTTCTTGTTGTGTCTTCCCTGGGACACTGTAAATACTGACATTTCAGCTTGTGGATAAGGACACTGCCTCAGAGAAGTCAGGTGCCTGGCTGAGGCCACACAGCCAGCCAGAGGCAAATGGGAGCCAAGCTAACGCTGCCTTCCGTGGGAACTTCTGCTTTTCCCTGGCAGGTGCTACATGAACCCCTGATTGATGAGGACCCTGTGTTTGTCGCCACGTGCACGGAGCGTGAGCTGCGAAAGAGGAAGAAGCGGAAGTTCAGCCTCTGGGTCCGGCAGTGCTCGTCCACCGGCTTCATTGTCCAGGTGCTCACAGGGCCCCTGCCACCCGGGGGGCCAGTTCCCTCAACACTTGGCCTCTAGAGGCGCCCACATTCCCCTGAGATGTCCCCAAAGATGCCTGCCAGTCCCCAGGAGGCCATCTGCACAGGTGGCATGGTGGGCAAAGGTGCGACTTATGCAGTCCAGGGGGAGAAATAAAGATGTCCACGCTTCTGCCCTTTTCAATGCTTTATCCACTCAGATCACTCAGTACAATTTCACTCTATAGGTTCTTAATCGAGAAAATGACAATCCTTAGTGCTGGGCACTGCAATAGACATAATCAATTCACAGCAAACAATTCTAGGTTGATCCTAAGCACTGCAAACACACTTAATCATGTCAGGCTCATGATAGACATTCCCTCTGCATGCTAAGCTCAAGTGTCCGATCTAAAGTCTCAAGCCCTAGGCTTTAAGTCCAGCAGATGCACACTCAGAATGAGGTGATCAGGTCAGGAACCAATAGAGGCCCCTCCTGGGGTGGAGCTGACAGCTGGTTGAGGAGAGGGTCACAGGGAGAAGTTGTGGCTCTCCCCAGGGTCAAGATGTGGCTGCAGAGTTTGAGAGCAGTCAGGAAGATGCAGAGGATCAGCAAAGGATGAGAAGAGTTGGGATGTCACCTCAGGTGCTCAGTGTGAGGGCATCAGTGTCAGCTGGCTGAACATCTGTTCATCTGCTCCATCATTTGTACTAAATTCAGGGGTTTCTGACCACCCTTTCTATCCTTATCAGTGGCCACTGGGTTTCTCAGTGACATCATTTGCCCTGGGGTTAAAGCATCTGGTCTGGGGGTCCTCACCCTGATTTTCTTGCCTCTTCCCCTTATCCGGGGAGGACAACATGACAGAGACTTCACTCTGAGTTTGTCAGGGTGGGGAGAAGTGACTTGTTTATGTCAGGCTGTGCTTGAGGGCCATACTGGAGGGCTTCATAGGCGCCTGGAGAGACTGCAGGTTTCCAAGTGGAGTTTTAAGATGGAGTTGCTTAGGCTAAGGCCTCAGGCCATCCTCACATCAGGCCACCAACCCGCCAGTGAAATTGGCCTTCACTGGGGGCATGCGTGCTATTGGCCCCTCAGAACTGATGGCAGACATGGTTCGTATCCCAGAGGAGGTGGTGTCGGAGAGGGGGCAGCAGGCTGGAGACCAGAGGGTGACTCCAAGGTTAAGTCCCTGGTGACCAGGCTAGTTCCGCCTGTGTGCTCCCACCAGGCTGCTGGCCTCGTGGCTGCAGACCTGGGCCCAGCTTCAGGGTGGCTGCCCACCCCTCTGTCCTGAGCTAGGACTGGTAGGAAGAGTTGCCTGGTGACTCCTGGCCACCTCGGATCATAGGCACCTGAAGAGACTGCAGGTTTTCCTGCAGAGCTGGAGGGCACAAGCTCTGGGGATGTCCTCCATCAGTGGGTGGGTCCCGTCTTTCTCCTGCAGACTGAAGGACCCTCAGGTGGGCTGGGCCTGGTGCACTGGGTGCATTCTATAGGGACAGCCACTCCTTCCTTCAGGGAGTCTGCCGGCCTTGTGGATCCCACACACCACACACACCTTCTGTTTGCACTGTGCTCACCCTGAATACCAGGGACGGGTAGAGCCCCGGCTTCTCTAGCAGGAGAGACTGTGGTATTGATTCACAGCATGTGGTGCAGTCCTGGGGCTTGTACAGGCTGCAGGCTGAGCCTTGGCCCCCGGGAGCAGAGGCGGCTGTGTGCTTAAGAATGCCGTGTCCAGAGGCAGTGGCTGAGCAGCACCCTTGCCGAGCTCCACCCAGTGGCCCCATGCGCTGTCTCATGTTCTCAGGGGTCAGTCATCCGCTGTCAGCCGCAGTCTGAAAACACCAGATGGGAAATTTCAGAAATGGACAGCACACATTTTGGACTGTGCACTGTTCCGAGTGTGGTGAAGGGAGCTCACTGTCTGTGCTGCCCAAGACCTGACTCACCCCTTTCCCAGCGTATCCACCCTGTATGTGCTACCCACCAGTGCATCCCCAGGAGTCATCTCAGTTACCAGGTGGAATGTTGCAGCGCTGTGTCCAAAGTCACCTCATAATAGTGAGGTGGTGGTGCTGGCTGCTCAGGTTTGCCCAGAGAAGCTGCTTCTTCTAAATGAAAGAGGAAAGTTCTTGACATAGTAAGAAATAAAAAAAAAAAAAAAAAAAAAACCCATGTTGAGATGGTCAGTAAGAACAAATCTGCCTGTAAAATTATGAAGGGAACCGATGCTCTCCAGTTTTGCTGTTGTGCCTCAAACTGCAAAAGTTATGGCTACAGCACGTGACCAGATCCAGGGCAGTACCACCAGTGGCTTCGGGCACCCATGGGGATCTTGGAGCGAATCTGAGGACCGGGGGCACCTGTGCACAGCACCCCTCCCACGTGCCCAGCTTGTGCTGCAGGACCGTGGCCTGGCAATGTGTGCCAACAGACAAGGAGGCAGGGCTCCTGGCAGCCAAGCACCTTGGCCAGGCAATCACCCGACCCAGCGACAGCTCCCCGGCCTGGCCCAACGTCCCGCCTGCGGTCCCCAGCTTCTCCCACGGACAGACAGGTTGAACTCACGTGGCTGTCACAAGGGGCAGCCAGGTGACCTGACACCTCCATCTGCCCTTATCCTTCCAGGGGGCAGAGGTGTGCATGTTGTGCCGTCTGCCCACCGCTGGGTTCCCCATGCCATCCCCCGCTCCTTGCCCCATCGGCAATGACAGAGTCACCAGTTTCGTGTCCCCAGACATGCTGTGCACTCACAATGGAGGATCCTGACCTACTCTGAAGACAGGAAGCAGGGCAGGGTTAAGACCAGGTAGCCAGCAGGGTTTCCCTGGTGCTCTCCTGGCCGCCCGGGCAACACAGCCACAGCAGAGCCGTGTTAGCCAATGCGTCTGGACCTCGGGGTTTGGCAGGAGCTGCAGCCAGCCCTAATGCTCCCTGGAGCCCAGGGAGAGAGGACTTTGTCCTGCCTCTCAAGTCTGGGGCACTTTGGAAGTAGGGCCAGGTGAATGCCATCTCGTAAGTGGTCCCTGAAGTGCTGACACCCTGGCCTTTGTTCTCGCAGTTCTTCTGTCACAGGGTCAGTATAAAATGGGTAGCACCAGCAACAACTCCTGGGCATGGTGTATTAATAACAGCCTTCCCACCTTTAATTCCATTTTTTTCAAAAGTTAAACCATGTGGTGGCCGTGCTGTGATTTCAGCAACTCTGGAGACTGAGGCAGGAGGATCACAAGTTTGAGGCCAGCCTCAGCAACTTAGCAAAGCCCTGTCTTTAAAATAAAAAGGACTGGGGACAAGGCTCTGTGCTAGAGCACCCTGGGTTAATTTCCCAGTACCATGTGCATGCATGTGAGAAGACATAGGAGCAAGAAAAACTTTTCTAGGAAAAGTGAAAAGCTCGACATCCAAAAGGGACATGTCCTGCCCTGAAGAGGCTTCCAGCCCACTCTCTGCACAGGCAGGAAAATGTCCTTGCAGACTGTGATTGGCAATTACCTAGCCAGCCTCCAACTTGCGATCCTCCTGCCTCAGCCTCCCCAGTTCTGGGATCACAGGTGTGTACCACTGTGCCTAGCAAGATCCCACTCCTTTTAAAAGCAGGCCAACAGATGCTTGTCCCGAGGCTGTAGGCTTTGGTGCTGCATCAGACACTGCCATAGAGAGCACCCAAGGAAGAAGGTGTGTGGCCTCCAGGACACTGTGGTCTCAGAGGCTGACAAGTTCTTCAGGAGACTCCAGTCTGGACATGACCAACACAGCGTGCATCCTGGGGTTGAGACTCCACTGGAGCTGCTCCTCAGCTGAGGGGCTTTCTGGAATTCTCAGTCGAGGCCACCGGGACGGCCAGGCCCCATAGTCCTGCAGGGGCATGGAGTAGCCAGACTTCCCAGCACCACTGATGCCAGGTCCTGGGTCCTGTGCTGGGCAGGGCCTGTGAGGCTTCCGGAGCTTCTCAGTGGTTAAGAGAAGTGTGCACCACTCTCCAGACGGGCATCCTGGGCTCTAGCTGTCCACCTCTGGCTGCAGGCTACTTCCTGGTTTCCTGGTGAGACAGGAGGCCTCTGTCACAATCCCTCCCTTGCAACGGTGTCCTTGGGCAGAGAAGGGCTGCCCTGGGGGCTCCATCAGCCTCCTACAGCCGGACGCCCTCACCCCGCCTGCCCCAGGGTCAAGGCCCTTGGCACACATCAGGGGTGCTCAGTAAATAGGAGCAGGAGGCCACCTGACTCTGCAGCCTCATCGTCTCCAGGCCATGGGAGGCCGTTCACCACAGCCACGGCACAGGCCCTGCAGGTGCTGCACATTCCACGTACGCTGTGGTCAATGCTGCCACGCAGGCTCTTCTTTTTCTGGTTAAATGTGTTGTCCATTGAGGATCAAGCACAAGTCCCGGATGTCTGTGAACACAACAAACACATTGTCATACAGAAGTGGCCCAAGGACATGGCCTGTGTAAGCGTGCACACGCTTGAGTTGTCTTGCGAGTCACATCTGCCCTTATGGGGACACGGTGCCGTTTCTGTTACTGCACGTTCTGCACGTGACTAAGCCACCTGCCACCCACACACCACGGGTCATCTCACCTGCTGCTGACCCCTCTTGGTGGCTGCTCTGAGGCCCAGGCCTCACCATGTGGGGTGCTGGGGCCAGCAGGCTTGTTTCACGTCTGCCTGGACGTGCTTTGCTGCCGTCTCCAGCCAGCAGTGTGGAGCCTCTTCTCTGCCTCAGGAGGCCCTCGCCCTCCTGTGCGTCCCAGCTCCTCCCACGCACAGGAGCTTCTGCCCGTGCACAGGCCTCCTGGCTGTTCACACCAAAGGGCCTGCCGCAGCAGCACTGTCGAGGGGCTTTGGTGTTCCCTTGTGAAAGTTTAAACTAGCTCAAGGGCACGTATCTGGGAAGGCTCAACCACTTGGCATCAGAGCCAGGCCAGGTTCTTCCTGGAGAAAATGGGATGCGCCAGAGGCCTTCGCCTGAGGAAGGGGCTCTGCTGCTGGCTCTGAGGGTGGAGCTGCCATTGGCGGGGACGCAGCCGGGTCCCTCATGGCCAGAAAGACCAGGACCTCTGTCCTGCAGCCACGGGAAACAGAAATGCACCCTGTAGATGGGACATGGCAGTGACACCTTGACTTCAGCCCCGTGTGACCTGGAGCAGAAAGACACCACACCAGGCTCAGACCCCAGCCTGCGAGCCGTGAGCTGACAGACTGGCAACTGCAGCCACCAAGTTGGTATAGCAAGAAAAGGGACCAGCAGAGCGTCTTGACCTTCGGTGTAGACGGACAAACTGCCCAGCTGTGGTGTAGGTGGAGGTCACCTGCAGCAGGTGAAGACCCCTGGGCCACGTGGCATTCCGGGATCAACTGACCCAGCACCATGCTTCCTGTTGCGGTGGTGACTGTTTTCTGAGACGCTCTTGCTGAGCCAGGGCCCTGCCTCCCGTCCCAGATGTGGTTCAGACCTTCATTTGGCCCCCTGTTAGGACCTCAGGCTCGTGCGTTCTGCGAGGGATGCCCCAGAGCCACTGGACAGGACGGTCCTGAGAGGGCGCTGGGCTCTGCCTGGGCCCTCTGTCTCTGGGCACGGTTGGCTTCTGCCTGATGCACCTACTCCCTCCGTGGTTGGAGGTCAGTGCGCCCCCGGGGATGGGCAGGCACAAGGCAGTGGTAGGGACTGCTGAACGGCTGCCCAGAGGCCCTAGGAATGCTCCAGAGACACCCGAGCTCCTGGTGAGGACACTGCCAGCCCTCTGGGGAGCCCCTCCTGGCTGCGCCATGGGCAGGACAGGTGGTTCTCCAAGCTGCTCTTCTTCGTGCCAACCCTTTGGGCTGCGCATAGAAGGAGCATGGATACTGCTGATTGCACCTTCCACCTGCTTGTCCTCTCTGCTGGTCCTGGGCCTTGGCAGGCCCATCCCACCTCCTGACCATAGAGGTAGCCTTTACTCTAGTTCCTGGTAAACACCAGCCAACCCATGCTTCAGGATGGGATGGTGCTTGTGTCCACCTCAGCCTCAGGGTCAGAGCTGTAGCTGCTGGACCTTTGCCACCCTGACCCCCACCTGAAACATTAGGCTGAGTCACCAGCCGCTGGGGCTGCAGGCGATCTTGGGTGACACAGGGCCACTGTGGTGGGGAAGACTTGGGGTAGGGGTTGCCTCCAGCTCCAGCCCAAAGATCCACACTTCCTTCAGCTTTGGGGTCTCTCCCAACGGCGCCCTGAACATATGGGCCTCTGGTGTCTGTTACAGATTTACGTCCACCTGAAGGAAGGTGGAGGTCCAGACAGCCTGGACGCCCTGAAGAACAAGCCTCAGCTACACAGCATGGTGGCCAGGAGCCTGTGCCGCAGTGCAGCCGGCAAGAACTACATCATCTTCACGGGGCCCAGCATCACCAGCCTGACACTGTTTGAAGAGTTCGAGAAGCAAGGTTTGTCCAGCGGGTGGTCCCAGCAAGCCCTACCTCACTTCCAGGCAGATGTGTGGGTCGGGTGGAGGGTGCAGACCACAGGCTGCCAGGTGAGGGGGAGTCAGTTCCTCTCTCCGCCCTGTGAGCCTGGACCCTGTGGGGTACTGATGACTTCCAGGTGTACGAGTCCTGGGTGTGGGGTCTGGAGACTTCTGAGCTCACCCACCATCTCTAGGTGGCCCTTCCAGGCGGGCAGATGAGCACTGTGCAGACAGGGGACATTCTCTGGGTGTCCGTGTCCTAGGCCCCTGCACAGACTGGGCCAGGCTGCCCTGGTTCAGGCAGAGGTGAGGCTGCAGGAGGAGGAGAGCTGGACCAGGCCAGGGTGGACCCAGGCAGCTCAGGGGAAGCACGGAAGGTGCCCACCTGTGCACAGTGGCCCCTAGAATCACTGTTGCTCAGCTGCAGCACAGATGTCTGGCCTTAAAACTGGACCCTGTGAGTCTGGTGGGCAGACAGCTTGCATCCTGGGCTTCTGCTGCCAGTGAGGTACAGGAGCTGCCAGGCCTCTGCTTCTCACAGGCTGGCCACTCTGCTGGGCTCCATCGTAAGTATGAGTGACAGGGCTGAGAAGGGTGTGGCGGGGGAGAGTGGCAGGAGATTGGCCCTGAGAGGCAGCCACTTTGGGAGAGTGACGGTGCCGCTCCCTGGCTTACCTCTGCCTGCGCGGAGGGATGTGGGGCCGGCTCAGCTTGGCCGGTGTGCTGGGGTGGGACTGGTGCTGGGCAGAGGGAGGCTCTACGGGCAGTCTGGGGTGCGGAGCGTGGCTCTGGCCATTGGGCTGCTGCTCCGGGAGCTGGGTGTGCCGCTCCTGGGAGTCCCAGAGGAAGGGCGCTCCCAGCTCAGGAAGGCAGCAGGATGGGACGGGAAGCTCCCAGCTACAGGAGAGTAGAGGAGTTGGGAGGTATGCAAGAGGCTAGGTGACACGTTCTCGGATCTCACTGCCCCCTTAGAAGCACTTCGCAGGGGCTGCCATGCATGTTCTTTGCAGCAGGGGCAGTTCTGCACACTGGGGTCAGGTGCACACTGGGGTTGCTGGGGCGGTGCCTGCCCCAGGCCTGGCTGCAGTGTTCTGGGCCGCGCCCCTCCCCATGGGTCATGCCCATCTTTGCCCTCCCAGCTGTGATGGGGGCCTTGGTCTGGAGGCCCAGTGGCGCCTCCTGTCCTGACATACTGAGATAACACAAGTGCAAAAGTTTCTGGAGGCAGACAGGGCACAGGCTTGGCACTGTGCCAGGCCCCAGGGCCTCCGTGGACAAAGGCACTGTCCCTGCAGTCTAGCAGATGTCCTCCAGAGGCCTCGGGGAAGCCGCAGAGGGCGAGGCCCCAGCTGGTCTCAGCAGGTGGTTGCCTGTGTGACCTGCGTTTTTCCCACCAGAGATCTACTGCTGTGGCCTGCTTAGCTCCCGGAAGAGTGACTGCACGGGACTCCCGCCATCCATGCTGACTAACCCAGCCACACCGCCGGCCCGCGGCCAGCACCAGATCAAGATGAAGGGGAACATGTCCCTGATCTGCTGGTACAACAAGGGGCACTTTCGCTTCTTGACCAACGCCTACTCCCCAGTGCAGCAAGGTGAGCCCAGGCATGTGGGTGCCGGGGGCAAGGGCGTGGCCAGCCCCGCAGGTCTTGGTGGTATAGGACAGATGAGGCTGGACACCCGAGGAATTTCTAGGAAGCAGGCTTATTTAAGTTGCAGTGGTCCAGAGAGTCTGATGCCTAACATCCTCGGGCCCCTGGTCTGGAGTGGGTTAGGCTCATACTCAGTGGGGGCTTACACCAGGCACTGGTCACACAGCCGTCACTCTTTGTCCCATACTCTTAGATCAGAGACAGGTTTCACAAGTTTTTCCAAGAAAACAAGCAGTAACTTTTGCACATCAAGCTCTCTGGAGACAGAGCCCATGGCACCTTTTGTCAGAAAACCTGGCATTAAGAGGAAGCTTCAGACCACACTGAGCTCTCTGCAGAAACCCTGTGAAGTCCTGTTGACACTCTTTGTAAAATCTTGCTGACAAGAAGCTTAATTATGGTGGGGGTCCCTGGAGAAGCTTGATCAGGGTGGGTCTTTTTGGTGGGGTACCTGGTGGTGGCAGCAGTGATGCATGGAGTGCACCCAGGCAGCCCTCAGTGGCTCTGCCGCCTGTCATGTGGCCCTGGGACTCAGGGCTGGGCCCTGGGCCTGACTGCGGCTATGGTGTCAGGAGGCGGGCATGGAGGGCGCTTCCTGAACGTGAGCTCAGCCTGGCCAGCTGGGACACGGGTTTCACTCAGCTGTGCACAGGGTGTGGTGGCTAGCCACATCTGTGAGGCATTTACAGGATCGTTGTGTCATTGGCATTTGTGACTGCTCGGCCTTCCAGGTGTCCCCTTGGGAGTCTATCTACCTCTAGCAAGGGCCTCCGCTGGCCAGAGGCTAAATGGTGTCACCCCAGTACTGCGAAGCTCCTGGCCTTCACAGGAAGGCCACTGGGCACCGGCATGGCGGTCCTCCTGTGGTCTGTGTGCCATTCATGTCCCTGCCCTCCACTGCACCCTGGGTGGGGACTGTGGTCTGGGGACTCAGTGCAGGGGCTTTGTTCTGTGTGGTGCAGGGGCGCAGGAAGCTGCTCCAGGCTGCATCCGGCATTGGAGGGAGGCACTTGGCCCGGGGTAGGGCGTGGCGGCTGCTTCCACCGTTCCCAAGGGTGCACAGGAGAGCATGCTCTAGGGGCCTGGGGACAGCCTGGGGAGGGACCCTCTCGTCAGACGGGGGGCCTGGTGGGAGCACAGGGGTGTGGGGCAGGAGGAGCCAGTGGGCGACTCTAAGAGTTGGGATGAAATGTTTGTGTCAGCCTGGCGATAGTTCTCAGCTGTTTTGACATCCAGTCCCGAAGCCTCGACTCCCTACAGCATCCCAGGGTATAAGGCCGCGGCCACTGTGGGCAGGCCAGGCTCCAGGCCCTAAAGGCCCTGAGAGGAAAGGGCAGGTGGGCTGGGTGGCTGGGAGTGGCGTTCTGCCACACCTGAGGACACTTTTGTTTAAGGAACAGGAGGTTTTCTTGGTCTACTTAAAAACAGTTTAAAAAGTGCCCATCTCTGGTCACTCGATGTGGCTCCCACACTCTGGGATCATTTCCTCAGGAAGATCTGGACGCTTGTGTGGGGTCTTCACTCCGGGCTTCCAGTGTCCCTCCCAGCTGCTGAGTGCCGGGACAGCAGTGCCTCCCTGGCCCTGATGACAGTGGCCACAGGCTGGACTTGCTCACTGGCTGAGCCACGGGGACTTCACGAGGACCCACGTTCCTCCAGCTTCACTTGCACCTCTTCTTTTTAATCTGCATGGTGCCAGGGCTACCGGTGAGGCTGCGTGTCTCCACAGCTCTCGGCGGCCTGCGGACTCTTCCTGTGCGTGTTTCTGGTGACGAGTTCGCCTCTTTCTCATTGACCTGAAAGCAGAATGTCTCTCTGCACTTTCCCCTTTGGTTTTTTATCTCGTGCTCTAAAGGGTTTTTATTTCTCAGAGGCAGACCTGCTGCCTGCTGCCTACTCCGGGTGATGGACGCCCCCCTCTGCTGGGGTGAGCTTCAAAGGCTTCACCTTTGTGCAGACTGGGGTGGCTGCGTGGGGTCATGTGGCCATGGAGCCCTGGAGAAGACCCCCTTCCTGTCCCCTTGGTGGCCCAGATGGGGAGCTGAAGCCTCCCGTATGCTGAGGCTGCTTCTCAGCCTTCTGGTTCTGCCCCATCGAGAACGAGTTTCTGGCCTCAGAAGATGCGTCTCGGTCCGAGCATTCCAGGAATCCTTTCCTCCCGGCTCTAGGAGCCATGGACCCTCCCAGCCTCTTGCTTTCCTTGTCTCCTGCTCCCCATGAGTGTCTGTGCCCATTTGAGACCAAGCTTCATCAAGGCCAGTGAGGGAGCCACGTCTGCTAGTTCCTCAGCCCTGGGCAGAGGACACGGGCTCCTGCAAGGCCGTGTGGACCTGCAGAGACAGACATGCTGGAGGGAGACAAGGCCGTGCTCTCACGTCCTCCCAGGGCTCTCGGTGTCCTTCCCTGAGCACCGGTGCTGGGAAGAGAGCTCAGCCCAGCTGTGTGCCTCTTCTCCCCGCTGGGCAGGAGCTGCTGACTCAGTCAGAGCCCATCGGCCCACAGGAACACGCCACTTTTGCTGGGACTTGGTCTGCTCCATGCTGCTGCAATTTCAGTCCTCTGAACTTAGTCCTTAAAGAGGCACCAGAAAGGGTCCGTGCCATGACCCTCCATGCTGTGACCCCCCTGCCAGGACCCCCTGTGCTGCCGGGAAGCCTTGCACTGCTGGGAAACCTGCCTGGAGGCCTGGGTATGGCTTGGCCACCAGCAGACCTGGGGCGCAGGTAGTCTGGCAGCATCTTGGGCAGCAGATGAGGAAGAAGTAGGCCTTGGTGGGTCTCAGGCCTTGCTGGTGGGGCCTGTGACCCTGTGGTGACAGTGTCAGTGCCCTTGTGTGTCCCAGCTGCACCCACACAGGAGGGTGTAGGGGGCATGTGTGGCCGTGTCTGACAGCAGCGGCCGCCACTCCATCCCTTCCCCGGGCCCTGGGAGTCCTGGGCAGCACAGTGGCCAGGCCTGGGCTGGAGGGAGCTGGTCACCCTGCCCAGGAGGTGTGTGGCTGGCACTGAGTACATCTTCCCTGCAGGGGTCATCATCAAGAGGAGGAGTGGGGAGGTGCCCTGCCCCCTGGCCGTGGAGGCCTTCGCTGCCCACCTCAGCTACATCTGCAGATACGACGACAAGTACAGTCGGTGAGTATGGCGGGCAGCTGTGGGCTGGCCCGTCCTCCTGCGCCCCTGTGCAGGCAGCCTGAGGTCACAGGTGAGAGTGCCCGTTGGGCATGACCGGAATAAGCTCGATTGGCCAGGCCGGTGGAAATCTGCTGGGCCCTCCTGGGGCAGCTCCCATCTTCGTAGCCTTGTTCTCCAGCCCTGCCATTTGGCGAGTCTGCCCACCCCCACAGTCCTCAGAAGGACTGTGGCTCCCAGGTTGCATGCCTGGCGCTAGGCTGTGCCCCACGCCTGTGTGTGACATTGTCATTCGTCCAGCCAAGGCTGCCTGCCCAGCACCAGGCTCAGATACCTCAGAACCAGGCACAGAAACCTCAGAACCAGGCCAGGTCTGGGCTGCAAGGAGCTGGGCACTCTGCCCAGGAGGTTGTGGTCGACACTAAGCACATCTTCCCTGCACTCTCGCAGGTAGAGCACACAGGACAGTAGGGTGGGAGCAGAAGTGGCTGGAAGGAGCCACGTCCTCAGGGTGAGCCCAGGGCCAGCAGCTTCCCTGAGGGCAGCAAGGTGGGGCCTGCTGGTGTGGGCAGCAGGCCGGCCGCAGGCACCAGTGTCCCGTGGAGTGGCAGCGGGCCGGTCGGGCTCGGGGCTCAATGCCTGACCCCGCTCAGCCTGCCTGCCCTCTGCCTCAGGTACTTCATCTCCCATAAGCCCAGCAAGACCTGGCAGCAGGTGTTCTGGTTTGCCATCAGCATTGCCGTCAACAACGCCTACATCCTGTACAAGATGTCTGACGCCTACCACGTGAAGAGGTACAGCCGGGCGCAGTTTGGAGAGAGACTGGTGAGGGAGCTGCTGGGCCTGGAGGACATGTCGCCCGCCCACTGAGGCCAGCCCCAGGCATGGCGGGAGGAGGGGAGCCTGCCCATCAGGGACCCTCGGTGAGGTTTGCATCCAGAGAGGCGCGAGTTCCCCCAGGGTGGCGCTCCCATCTCAGCTGTCTCGTCCTCCTGATGCCCTGGAGCCTGCAAGGCTGTGTGCAAGGTGCCTGTTGCCCGTGGGCTGATCAGGAGCCGGACAGGCAGAGAGGACAGTGGCAACGGCAAGCGCGGGCATCGGCCCTGTCAGTGCAGGAGCCTGGTCGAGGCCTGGGCAGGCGGGCATCCCAGTGTCTGCCTTCTGTGAGCAGCGTGGTGACACCAGATGCAGAGCAGGGCGGTGCTTCTGCCCGGGCCCCGTGGGGCTGGGCCACGGGACCCCCAGAGGCTGCAGCCGAGCACGATGCTGTTTTTATTTAAATCTCTCTTCAGGTTATTTTCTTACTGTTGCTTAAGGTCTACTGTAAAGGGGGTGCCCTTTGTTCCCATGCACCCCCTCGCATGATCAGTTCTGTGTCTGTGCCTGTGGCGGGCGGGAGGGCCGCTGGCTCCCAGGACACTGGCTACAGGCCAACAAGGGTCAGGCGGCCTGTGGTTGCAGGTTCTGTCACCGTCACTGACAGAATTACTTATTCTGTAAAGATGCATAACGCCACTGAGGCAAACGCCCTGCCGCAGACCCTTGCTGGCCACGCAGACCCTTGCTGGCCGCCCTTCCTCCTGGTCATGATGGTCACTGCTCTGGTGAGCCCTGACTGGGGACCATAGGGACAAGCTGGGTGGGGCATGATTTGACACAGGCTGCCTTCCTGGCCACGCCCAAGGCCTGGGGCTTCTCCAGGGTGGCCTCACCTGGGGACAGGTGGCCCTCTATCCAGCAGAGCCTCTCAGGCTGGGGATGCTCCGCCTCCTTCACCCTGGTGAGCCGGCATGCCCCAGCATGCTCCAAGCCCACGTCACCTCTGCACCCTAGTCGCGGTGGCCACCTCACCTGTGATTTGAATTCGATGCCACGGACTGTAGGCCAAATCCTAGACCATCTCCGACACCTCTGCCTGCCCTTGGGGTGGACTGGAAGCACTTTTACCACGTGGAGAAATATATTTTTAATCTGTGTTGCTTTTCTACGGGGCCCACTGTTTCGAGTTGACGTGTTTCCAACACTTAGGGAGACGGATGAAAGCGATGAATTTCCTTTTCTGTCCAAACAAGTAAAAAAAAAAAATAAAAGTCTATTTAGATGTTGATTCTTTGTAAATACGTGGATTTGTTTCAAAGGTCAGGACACACAGCTTGTCCACTGTATGGCTGGCCTATGTCCTGGTATCCTGGACCCCTGAGCAGCTCATGGATGAAATCCAGCTGAGTTTTGACTGCCACAGACGTCTGTGGTCCCTAAGTGCAGGGGTCCCATGCCTGGTGTCCCACTACCTGTGATCAAACACGATCCTGAGGCAGTAGGTGGAAAATTCCAGGAGGACCAGTTCCTGAGTTCTAGACCACCGCTGGGCAGCTGCTCCGTCTTGCCAGCCCCAACTGTGCCCAGCATGAATGCACTCACCACAGGAGCACAGGGGCTCTGCCACGTGCTTCCAGGTGTCCACTGGGGTCTTGGAGCATGGCGCTGCATGAGGGGCCAGTGGCTGTTGCCTGTTGCAGTGGTCTGGTGTGGGCAGGTCCTGTGTCTGTTCCTCCTGAGACTCAACAGAGGTGGGTTTCCAGACTCTCTCTCTCCCAGACCTGCTCTCTGACCTCACCCAGCACCTCCCTGGGGACCCTGTCAGAAAGAGCATGTGTCCCTCTAGTGTAAGCAGAGGCTCTGGGGTCGGGGGATGGCCTTCCTGGCAACTCCTATCCTCTCCTCTGGGGAGACCTCAACTCCCCGGGGGATGAAGCCGAGCCCTGACTCAGCTCCTGGGCAGATTCCACGCCAGGAGCATAGGACTTCTCCAGGGACCCCGCCTCAGGACCCCCTTTCCTCCTCAGGGGAGGTGGGACACCAGAAGCACAGAGACCCTCCAGAGACCCCGCCCCAGGCTCCCTTTCCCTCCTCAGGGGAGGTGGGACACCAGGAGCACAGGACCCTCCAGGGACCCCGCCCCAGGCCCCCTTCCCTCCTCAGGGGAGGTGGGATACCAGGAGCACAGGACCCTCCAGGGACCCTGCCCCAGGCTCCCCTTCCCTCCTCAGGGGAGGTGGAACACCAGGAGAGCAGGGACCCTCCAGGGATCCCACCCCAGGTCCTCTTCCTTCCTCAGGGGAGGGTTCCACTAACCAGGGGCCAGGCGAGGACTTGGGCAGCGCTCCTCTGGGGCTCCCACCTGCACTGCTGCTTCCTTTCCCCACTTGGCCCTCCAAGGCCCAGCTGAGACCATTGGGAGACATCCACCTCCCTGGGCTGTGCGCCTCTGCACATCCGGGCTCTCAAGCTGGTCACACTGGCTGCAGACCTCACAGACTGGGTGCGCCTGAGCCGCGTTCCTGGTTCTAAACCGAGCGTGGCTCCTGCCGGCTGTGACACAGCCAGGCACCTCACTGTGCGGCTGTTGGCTCCAGTCAGGTCGCTAACAACTAGGCTGGCTTGGTGTCAACTCCGAGGTGCAGTCAAGGACGTTGCTATGGCCTCTTGTGGTCCTTTGCGGTGGCAACGTGGGGAAGGGCACCCAGGGGAAGCACTGGGGTCTGAGATGGCCACACCTGGGAATCCTCAGGGCTCTTGGCAAATGAAGGGGCAGGCGGGGCGGGCAAGGGGTGAGGGCCAGGGGGACACTGATGCAGGAGCCGACGCCCCTGCTGGGAGCACCCCTGTGGCCACAGCTGTCCTCTCAGTCCAGGAAGAGTCCTCAGAGGTGAGACTGTGTAGCCATCTTCTGTGACCCAAGGATCGCTGTGTAAAGCGAGATGGCTGTCCCCTTCCCCGGGCTACCACCCTCCTCGTGGGGAACAGGGGTTGGGACACGTGCTTCTCTGCCTTAGCAGGATGTGAGGTGCTCTAGGCCCTCTGTGAGCCAAGACCGGTGCTCAGACACCAGGGCTGTGCTCTCCAGCCCCTCGACCTCTCCTGTTGGGCTCTCCTGGTCACCGTGTTCTCCAGCAGGACACGCGATGCCCACCCACCCTGCCTATCCCCACCCACTGACCTCTGCACAGTTGTCTTCCACCTCCCTGAGGACCCTCCCTGCTCCCCACATCCCCAGATCTTCCCTCTGGGCACCCTCCCGCCCGCACACCAAGCCTGGGGACCCTCCCCTCCACAGCAGAATCCAGTGTCTCACATGGCCAAAGCACTAACAACAAAGCCACATGTGGGACTGGCTGAGCCAGGCCCTGCCTTTGGACAGGCACTTCAGGGAGCTGCCATGGACCCACATGACCCAAAAAGTGGGGGGGGGGTGGGCTCTCCTGGATAAGGCTGTGTGCTGGAGGGAACCCATGACACTGCTGGCGGACATCTACCACTAGGAGATTTCGGGTCACAGGGCAGGAGCCCAGCAATCCTGCCAGGAGGTTGCGGGGAGGGAAGGCAGGGTCCACACTTCTGCCTAAAGGAGAGATGTCAGGATAGGCAGGTTCTGGCCAGGGAGGCAGAGGTGATGGACAGCACTGCCCGGCCAGGAGGTCGTGGCTTCGGGGCTGCATCCCTCTCCACCAGCCCCCCAAAAGGACCAGCAAGACACATTCCGTCTCCAGAACCCTCACTGGTCGCCTACCCCTGGCTATGTCTAGCCAGGTATGTCTTGGGGAGCCCAGGAGGAGGCAAGCCCTGGCCACAGCAGGAGCCACACAAGGTAACAATGCTCCAGGAGCAACAGTGGGGCTGAGGGGGAAGGTCGGACCAGGCAGTGTTCCTGCGGAGTTGGATCAACTGTTCACAGCTGGCCTCACCTGTCAGCGCCTCCCAGTCAATGCGGCCCCTCCTTGGAGAGAGGCCTTGCCCAGCCTGGCCAGCAGAGGGCAGCCGTGCATGTCCCCAGCTGCTGTCAGAATGGAGACAGGGAGGCAGGCAGGGCCCGGCTGAGGGTCCCAGGGCAAGCCATTGACCCGTGGAGCCAGCGGCAGGGCTGTGGAAAAGGCCTGCAGAACCTCAAACTTGTCTTGGGGCTTTCAAAATGCTGGGCACCTCTGTGGACATTCCCCAGAGGTTGCTGCCCCAGAAGCACGCATCCGGCAGTGGAGAGGAACACATGACCAGCCAGGAGGGTGGGCATTCCACTGGGAAGTGGATGGCGGGATGGCAGTCAGTCCAAGGGTGCATGGGAGCAAGCTCCAGGGAGGAGCCGGCCAGCAGCCAAGACATGGCAGGCTGGCCAGCCCTGCTGTGACGCAGAGCAACAGTGCTCCAGCCCAGGCAGGATCTGGGTCTGCAGCCAGGTTGTGGCTGTCACCACCTCCTTGAGGGCGCCCACAGCACCCTCTGCTCACAGGAGGGGTGATGTCAGACAGGTGGCTGGTGAGCACCCCTCAGGGCTGCTCAGACGCAAGGTCAAGTGCTCAGCAGCAGCAGCAGCCCCTGCCCAGGACAGCAGTGGCTTCCTCACCGGGAAAACCCACCAGCCACAGGGCCCCCTGTTGCTGGCCGAGAGCCTGGGAGTCACCTAAGTGGCAGAAGGCAGCTGGGGGGCAAGGTGCAGCCGGACCTCAGAGGGCTCACCTCCTCTGCCTGCAGGCACCACGGGCCACAGAGGCAGCAGGACAGCCTGTCACACAAGCGATCCCCACACGGACCCTCACACTGCCTCCAACATGAGATGCCAGGGAGCTCAGGATGGGGTCACGAAGGACTGAGGTCCTGAAGGGGTGCAGGGCCCCCCACAATTGACCTGTGCAAAAACATAGCCTGTAAGTGACCTATTCGTGTGTGTGTGGGGGGTGGGGGTTCAAGGAGGCCCACGGAAGGTGCCAGTGCCCTCCTGCAATTGAAGGAGTAGGGCAGACTCATGGCCACATACCCAGGATGTCACTGTGCATACGTGAGCTCTGATAGCTTCTGGGGACAGCTCCTGGATCCTAGCTAAGCCCTGACATCTGCTCCGGTGTCCAGTAATCACGGCAGCATGGAGTCCAGGCTCCTGATCTCCTAAGACCTGCTTCTTCAGAGGTCACAGGGTGGCACTGGCAAGCACCTCACAGGCTATGAGTGGGGTGGAGGGGACCCTGTCATCAGGGTCCACCCCTAGAGCCCACCATGGGACCATTGAACCTCCCTCTGCTGGCCACGACACTTAGGTGCTCCAGGGACTAGGATGACACCTCTGGGTGGGCTGCCCACGGCCTGCTAGAGTGCACCCCGACTCATATCCATCCTACAAGCACAACACATCTCAGCAAGCCCAGGTGCAGCCCCACAGCATCCAAGTCCCACATCTCCAAAACTAGCATCTCTCCCCAAGCTCCCTCCTGTCCATGGGGGCAGCAGGCAGTCTGCCAGCCACCTTCCCAGGTGGCCCTTCACTTGCCCCTTCCCCTCAGGGTTCCTCCCTGCTGAAGGTGGGCCCTAGTTTGCTGCCTGAGACCAGGTCCTTCCCTCTCTTCAGCCTCTCAGAGGCCTCACACACACCGAGGGAGCTCGGAGACAGCAGGCAGCTTGTGCCCTGTGTATCCAGAGCTGGGTCCAGGCCAAGTTGACGCCAAGATGGTTGCTCCATGGATAAGCCCTCGTTCCCAGCAGTCAGACACCTCCCCAACCCGGGTGGGGAGGTGCATTTGGGAGGTCCTTGCCTTTCTTCTGGGGCCTCGATAGTCTGCCCACTTTACCTCCCAGGCAGCTCATCGTGGAGAGGAGGTGGCCAGCCACCCAAGGCCACATCAACCAGTGCTCCACGTAGGAGCCTCCCAGAAGCCCCCTCGGCTTGGCCTCCACCTGCCCAGGCCTCCGCTAGCTGCTCTTCCCAGTGATGTTCATCAAGTGCCTGCTTGAGCCTCAAGGGTGATCTATTCTTCCTCAGAGTCAGGGTCAGAGCTCAGAAGCAGTGTCATAGCAGCTGGATCCTGGACAGTCTCCTGGCCGTGCCCCAAGGACACCTGTCTCTGGCACTGTTTTGGCCCTTTCACTTGACATCGCAGCAGGGGGAAAACAAAACCACTCGTGTTAGTCAGGATTCAGCAGAGATTGACCCACAGATAAACAGTGGGGACAGGGGAACTGGCTCACCTGACTTTGGAAGCCCAGTCTGCAAGCCAGAGACCCCGGGATGCTGGCTGTGGCTCTAAGTCCAAAGGCCTGGGAACTGGGCTGCTGGTAAATCCTAGTATCCAAAGGCCAGAGGCCCAGAGTTCTGATGTTCAGGGGCAGGAGAGTGAGTGGCCCTCAGCTCCAGGAGAGGAAATAGTCTTTTGTCCTCCCAGGGGTCCTGGTACACTGGATGGTGCTGCCCACACTGAGGGCCATCCATCCCCTTCACCATGCCACCCAATAGACCAGCCTCCTTGGGACACAGCTCAGACACTGTTCTAGGCAACTTGGGCCCCCCAGTGACATCCACAACTAACCAGCATTTCACTGAAGCTCCAAGAAGCCACACTCATCCATGGTGAGGGCAAATTCAGGTCCAGATGCTTCCGGGGCAATGGTGACCTTATACCATGGCTCTCTAATGCCTGGCATCCCTGCTACTATGAACGTGGCCAACACACTGGGAACTGTCTTTGATGAGACCCTCCTGGGCATTTTTTAAAAAGTATTTTTAGTTGTAGAAGGGCACCATATCTTTAACTTTTCATGTGGTGCTGGGGAGGGAGCCCAGTGCCTCTCACAAGCTAGGCACGTGCTCTGCTACTGAGCCCAGCCCAGCCCTGTCATGGCATCCTTATCACATTAATTACTCTGCACGTGTTTCAAAGTGTCACGTAAGCACATAGCTCTTGCAGCTGAGGTGGCAGCCTGGGCATTCATGGCAAAGGAGACGATGGTGTCTTGGCGTGACTGGTGGTCTTCGTAAACTCAGGCAATGTCTTATTCACTTGCAGCCTCCTTGAGGACAGGCTGGAGCCACCAGCAGACCCCAGAGAATTCCCTGAACAGGGCAAGGGCCCCATGGCCCTGGCACTGTGGAGAGCACACTGCCAGCTGCTCATCAGTGCTGCCGGAGTCCTCCCAGTGATGGCAAGTGGGGTAGGCCCATGTGGTGGTGAGCAGCCACCCTTCCCCTGTCCTCCTGGCCAAAAGAACGCAGTCCCTGGAAGGGACCACATGGAGGTTGTGGCTTCTCAGCTTCCCAAGCAGCTGAGCCCCAGGACCTGGGAAGCCTCAGGTGTGATCGTCAGCACTGGGAAAGTGCAGGAGGTGGCCTGCTTTCAGGAGTGCCCCTGCTCCTGCACCATGGTGGGAGGGATCCACAGGGCCAGGCAGGAAACACACTTCAGGTGTCTCACCCCTGGAATCCTGTTGTCTTCAGATCTTGTCATCCGAGAGAATGGATGTCTCTCACTTGAGCAACGGCTGGGGGCTTTCTTGACAAGCAGAACTGAAGGCTCAGACAGGTGCCCCAGCGCTGAGGGTCAGCGCCTGGGAATTACCACCTCAGCCACTGTTGGCTTGTGCATCGTGCTGCCAACGGAGACGCCCAGGATCTTGACGTGACCTTCTGTAAGCCAGTGCCTTTCTGAAACTCAGTCTTCACTCTGAGTGGGACTCGCCCCGTGGGGACGCTACACAGAGCTGCCAGAACTGCAGTCAAAGGCTCACATCCAACTCCGCTTCAGAGCCTTCTAGGGCAGGTGAGGACCAGGGGTGCTTTGCCGCAGCCCCCAACTCTAGCACCCTTGCCTGGATGCTCAAGTGGCAGATTCCTCTTTCCTTCTGGACCTGAGGGACGCAAGGTCTTTAGAATCATGACACTTACAATACAGTTGAAAATACATACATGGAGTGAGTAGTTGACTCCATCACTGTGACAAGTACCCGGAGACCCCACCAACTCCCAGCAGGGCCACCTGCTGGGGAGCAAGCTGGGACAGACACACTGATCAGGAAGAACTGTCTTTTTAAGGTACATACATAGACAGGAAATGGAGATTTTATTTTTCTGGTTCATTATTTTCTGAAATGTGGTCAACATCAAATAGCTGAGTTTGGCTAGAAGTAGATCTGGCCCCTGGTCCAGGCACCAGCTCCCACTGCCCCCCGCCCACAGACCCAGAACCCACTGTTCCTGGGCTCCCCAGTGCCTCCCCTGACCCCCTTCTGCCCTGCCTCACCTGTCCCATCAGGTGGCTTTCTCTGTGTCCCAAGGGTGTGCCCCCCGCTGGAATGCTCTGCCCACATGTCTAGCAGGCTGGCCCTGGGCGGGTGCCCATGTGCACAACACCATCACCTGTCCACGCAGCAGGCTGCTGAGTGGCTCTGGGCCCACGGCCTCCTAGTCCCATGCAGAGTGCACAGCCTCTTGCGCTGCCAGAGCAGGACATGCACACATAGTCATGGAGGGCCTAGAGCACACCCCAGACACAGCGAGGGCTTCTGTCCCTCGGGTGGGAGCAGGCCGACGTCTGGTCTCCACAGTGGGAAGGAAGACACATCGTGTGCGTGCCCAGCATCCCTCCAGGGTCCCCCACACCCTCAACCCAGCTGCTAAACAAGTGGCCAGCCTCGGGTGGCCCTGATGAGCCTGTGGGGCGCACTCAGCACAGGCAGCTTGAAGACACCCAGGGAATCTTGGTGGGGCCCCAGCTGGCTGCCACCCTGTGGGCACTCAGCACCAGGCCTGAGCACACCAGGCCCTAGGTGCACCCCACAGGGGCCTGAGCAGCTGGGTCCCAGGAGCAGGTGGCCCAATAGCAGAAGGGCACGGCAGCCAATGCTGGGTGTGCGACTATGACAGCAACGGCCACATCACCACCCTCACACCACACACGTGCCCTGGCAAGGCCAGAGATGGCGACGCCACAGACAGCGGTATCTATAAAGTATCTTCTCTTTATTTAAGTTAAACAATCTCAAGGATGGTTTCCATCTATAAAATGGACAAAGTACAAGCTCTGTACAGCAGTTCTTTTTAAAAATCAACTGGAAAAAAATTACCAAACTATATTCTGAATTTGCAAAACAGACTCACAGACACCATCGCTTCAGCATGGCACAAGGACCACCGCAGCAGAGACGCTGCCTCGCGCTTCCCAAGGGCGGAGGGGGGATGGTGGGGTGGGTAAAGAGGAGTGGGAGGAGGGCACACCCAGGAAGTCACTTTGGCACACTGCGTCATGTAAACACAGCTCCTCTGGAGAGCCGGCTCAGCCACCTCTGCTCCCGGCGGCCCGGGGCACAGGGCTGGCACCCTGGGTGGCCAGGCAGCATGGTGCACAGGTGATCAGGATGGCATGGGTGCAGGCATCCCTGGCAAGCCCAATCTATCCCACATCTATGGCCTGCCCTTCTGACCAAAGGGGCTGCGGCAACAGGGTGAGAGCAGAACCTGGTGAGGAAGGCGGTGCCGGACAGGCGGGGTCCCGGACTGTGCTGTGGTTCTGCTCAGCAGCCTCACACCTGCGCCTAGGAGCGGCTCCCCTCAGTCCTACACCGAAGCTTGGAGAGGTGCAGAGTCACCTGTCACACAGACACCGTCTACCTGGAGGGAAGGAGATGCAGCAGCCACCTGGCCCGGCCCTCGTGCATGAGACCTGGGACCGTGCACACCCGCAGGCTCCTGAGGCAGAGCCCAGCAGGGCTCCCTCTTCTACAGCTCGGGTGTGCACTGGCAGCCTTCAGCACCTCAGCTCCCGGCCTCCACAGGCCCCAGAGGGGCCTGATGTGCGCACATGAGGCACCAGGAGCCAAGGTGCCCTTGTGGGAGGGCAGGGGAGATAGGCAGTGGCCATACCCACAGGGGATGGGCTGTCAAGACTGGGGCACAGGAGGCAGCGGGTTCTAGGCAGTGTTTCCAAGCGAGAGGCAGAGGCCTGGTGTTCTCCCCTCCCCACTGACACCAGCCTTGGAGACTGCACGGGACACAGGCCCCTGCCACTCACCCAAGCCTCCCAAGTGTGCGGTGTGGCTTGGTTTTGAATCCACCCAGCCCCACCCAAAGGCCCGAGGCAGCCATGCTGCGGGAAACATGGGGTACACTGGGTGCAGCAGGCACACCAGGGCTCCAGGTTCACCTGCAGGCTGAGTGTGCAGCTCAGGGAGCCCCGAGGGCCTGGCATACAGGCCTCGAGTCAGCAGGAGCCCAGAGCTGGTGCACAATGCTGTCCAGCGTCTCTGACCTGCCTGCCATGTGGAGGGGGTACTGCTGGCTCACACTGGGAGACACAGAATTGGGCTGTTTTTCCCCTTAACAAAAAAAATTTAATTAAAAAAACCCAAAGCACTCTTGCCAAAATAAGTAACCTGTCCAGGTTCACAGACACTGACAGATGAAAAGCAGGTTCCCAACACGCTGAGTCCCCAACTGGAGGCCACCCGAGGGGCCCTGGGATAGGGACTGGGGGCCCCATGGGCCACCAGAGCACCTATGGGCTGATGAAGTTCCAGGGGACAAAGGCAGCCACCTGCTCCTTCCAGGAGCATCGGCCCTCCTGCGGGTGACCAGATGACGACCCAGGGAGACCACAGGGAGCCGGCTGCACGCTCTTTCTCATGTATGTTATATTTAGTGTCCCACCACGGAAAGTTCATGTTCAGATACAGCAAGCACGTCAGTGAAGAGGGGAGGCAGGGCGGGCACGGCCACAAAGCCTGCCACTGGAGTCAGCTCTGCGGACACCACGTGGCCGGTGGGACAGGTGCAGGCGCAGAGTCCTCCCCGCGCACTGCGCCCTCCCCTTCTGTCCTTGGCGTGCACGCCACTCAGCTGCTCCTCCTGGCCTCGGCCTCAACTGTTCCTCAGCTGCCCAGCAAGTGGGGAGCACAGTGGGCGGGAGCGGGTGGCTGGCCCAGGGGGGGTGGGGCACAGCTCTCCTTTCCTGCTGCCACATGGGCACAGCCCACGCCTTGCTGGGTTCTCCAACTTTCAGACCATGATGGAATACTGAGGTATATAGTTTCGTGGAAAGTTTAAGAAACATAATCAATAATGTGATCACCAAACTTGGCCGGTGGCGCAGGAGGCAGGACGGCAGCGCTGGCCCTACGGCTGCAGGTTGAGCGAGAACTTCCACTGCTGCGAGAGGGCAGGGCCGCATACCTCCACGCTCAGGCCCCCGCTCTTGGCTGTGCGGCTGTCCAGGCACAGGTTGCTGCCCACGTGCCGCAGCTTGGAATTGCCCTCGATCTGCTCCCACTTCTGCAAGAGAAGAGCACAAGGAGGCATGAGCATAGCAGCCTAGAGGTCTTCCAGCGGCAACCCCTGTGGGTAACCCCCATGGGCAAACGGGCTCCCACCCTGGCCTCAAGGACCGGAGGTGCCTGTGCTGGTGAGGGTCGTAGGCAACACACCTCCGCCCTGCTGGAACCCACAGCCTGACCAGTGGCCCGTTCTCCCCTTGCCTGCCTGAGGCCCCGGAATCAACACAGCACTGAACACAGGGATTGGCCATTGTTCAGTGAGGCCACAGGCACCTAGCTGTGGTGCCCCTGCTTAAGACCTAGTCAAGCCGACCGGCAGGCAGGACACCTGGTGAGGAAGAACACGGGTGCAGGTAGCTATTCCTACTATGTGCTTTCTTGCCCTCTGTGGAGCTCCGGGCATGCCACCAGGGTGCTCAGGTGGGGCAACAAGCCCCACCACTACGGCCAGGTGGCCCGCAACCCACAGCAGAAGGCAGGGTCCACGAGAGTCTGCAGGGCATCTGAGGATCAGCCTGGTCCACTGCTGAGCCAGCTCCAGAAACAGTCCCATTTAAAAACCTCTGCGGTTCCGACTCCACTCCCAGCACTCCTCCCTGTCAGCAGAGGCTGAGCCCTGATGCCCCCCATGCAGTGCACCAGGGACCCCTGGGGGCACCTCTGCCCCTCACATGGTGCACCAGGGACCTCCTGGAGGTGCTTCTGTGGTCCCCTGGAATTGGGTGTTCCGATTTCCCTGGTGCCGCCTCCCTTTGGCCTGACTTCAAGGCTCACAAAACAGGAATGTGGGAGGTGCCTGGTCACCCAGTACTGGCTGCAGCAGGACAGCTGTTCCTCAAGCAAGGGACAGACAACAATCTTGCCCTGGGAGGGGTGCTGGTCGGCCAATGGTCTTCGCCCTTCTGATGGCCACGGTGGTGTGGGTACCCTCTCCCAAATCTGGGTTCAGCTACAACCTTGTAGATTCCATTCACAAAGTGACCTCTGGAGACCACAGGGCCTTTGAGGGCATCAGTTACGGCCTGAGAACAGGACTGGAGAGAACAACTAGCAACTTCAAAGCGAGGGATTATAGTAGCCCTTTGTTTTAAAAAAGCTTTGGGGACTAGCCAAGGACATGCTTTACCACAGCTTTATATAAAAAACACTCTGCCTACCAATTCCTAAGGGAAATGCCACTTTGGCCTGATCAGAGACCGTCCCCTCTGGCAGCCTGGCTGAATTTTGTGGCTGGGTCGTGCTGGTGGCCCCTTCCCCAGTTTGACAGCCACTTTCTTACTGGAGGTCCACATAGATCCTGAAACTGCACCAACAGGCAAACCAGGCAGCAAGCAGAGCCCCAGAGAGGGACCCACTGCCGAGATGGGCAGGGTTTGAAAGAGGACAGGAGGGTGGAGCACCCAGACTGGGTCAAGGAGCAGAGAGAGGCCTTTGCCAGTACTTGCCAACCCCAGGAATCCAGCTGGGACCTGTCTGGGCCCCAGTCCTCCCAGGTGATGCTGGGAGGGGCGCCAGCCCTGGCCTTGGCCACACTAGGTTCTGTGCCTCACTCTACACCTCACCTACACCTATAGGAGGGCAGGCGGCATTCTACACGCAGCACCCTGGGAGGTGCCCTGTGCCACGTTCCTGTTTGTCCCCGAGCTGTACCCCAGGCCTTCTAAGCTTCCACTAGGGAACACATCAGACAAGCCCAGCTCCCAAAGAGCGCAGCATGCAGTGACCTGGTGGCCACATCTCAAGGAGCCCTGCTAGCCAATCCAGGGAACGATCCAGTCACACTGGAGTATGGTTTTGGCATGGCTGTCTTGTCCCCAGCTCAGCATGGGCCATGCATCCAGTCCCCGCTGTGTGAATGCGAGCCATCCAGAATGGGTGCAAATTTCAACAGGAAAAAATAACGAATAAACCAAAGTAGTCTCTCTGCAAAATGCTCTGTGCCATGTCACTGCTCTGCTGAGCTCCGGCAGGCGGCCAATGTCACCAGTGTGGTGCAGTCACCTGCAAGCAAATGCTGCTACCTGCATGGCACCATGGTGCCCAAGGGCCTACCTGTCTGCTGTCGTTCTCCCGGCAGCCCTGCAGCTTGATGAGCGAGCCGGGTGCCCGGTCCACCACGGTGAGGCAGAGGTCCATGTGCTTCACCGACTTCTCCTTCGTCAAGGCCCATTCCTGGAACATAAGGCCCAGTCAGAGGCAGGAGTCCAGGTGAGACCAGGAGGGGCCAGCGCCAGCTGGGGACCCGCTCAAGACCAACCCGCGGCTGGGTGGTGCTGTGCTGGCCTGACTCATCCTGCTGCTGGGCAGAAACTGCTCTGTGCAGCCTGGTTGCCAAGGCTGACGGCATTAGCCAGGCACCTGTCACTGCTGCTGCAGGTACCATGAGCTGCAAAGCCTGTGGCCTTGGCCTGGGCCCACGGCAGGTGCTCGCCAACGGTCCTGCCCACACAGGGTTGGTCTGAAGACAGGCTGGGGTATGGACTGAACACCGGAAAAGCATGTGCGAGATCCTGCAGATTTAGGCAGGAACGAGTGTCCTCACGATAGAGGCCGCCTGATCCACCCAAGCTTCCAGAGTCCCTGGACACCAAAGGACAGTCCATGTACTGCACTTATGCATGGCCGATCTGCCACTAGTGCCCAGCGCTGTGGTGTGTCCTCTGTGCCAAAGTCCCTGGGGGCTGCTATTCTTCTCACAGACAAGAAAACTGAGCCTGAGATGTTTAAATATCCTGCCTGGGCTTCAGAACACTGCCACGCAAGTCAGGGCTAAGATGGCCAGGCAAGCCACTACTAGGAGCAGTGACATGCCACCCTGGGTAGGGCCACGCTGGGCGGGAAGGTGGGCCTCCCGAGTCTCTGGGGGTAGGGAATCCTGGCAAGGGGATCCTTCTGGACTGAGTGGTGAGGCTCCTGGCAGAGTGTGCAGGGACAGCCTTGCTGCCCTGGCCCCTTCTCCCCTGAGCCCAGCAGGCTCCTGTGACAAGTTCCTCCCCCGCGGTCCCCCACTCCCATGTGACAGTGCCACATCCCTTGCACCTGCCTGACTCAGAGCTCTGTCAGCACCAGGACGGCCTCCTTGTGGGAAGGGGGATGAGGCACAGGCATGCTGTCAGGAGGGCCAAGGGCTGTGGCATGGCTTATCCTTCTTCGGTCCTTGGGCACGGCCAGGACTGCTGGAGCCTCATGCCTGCTGCCCAACCACCACGTGGGAGTATGCCCCTCTCCTCTCCCTTGGCTCTTGGGGAGGGTGTGCGGGGGCAGCCAGGGACACTGGACACCTGGGCCTCTGCATGGTGAGATGGGGCATGTGTCCTGCACGCTGGGCCTCAATCCTGTCTGCTTTTGATTGGTGTTTCTTCAACCTTACTGTCAGGAATTTTATGAAAAACCAGATCGAGGTTGAACAGATTTGGAAAGGTATCCCTGCCACGTTGTCCTGCAGAAAATTCCCACAAGGCCTCATGGCTCTGAGAAGTCCTCCTGTCTGCACAGACATTTCCGGGAGGCCTCCAACCTTTGGGAATGACTAGGTCTTGTTGGGGTTCAGACGGTCCTGCCGGCAGGCATCTGGAGGCCTTGGGCTTGCAGTCGGCCAGTGAAAAAAACTTGCATCCTCCCCGATGTTACAATGGTTCCAGCAAAACCAACCTGGTGCGAGCAGTGTGGGCAGCTCTGCCCTGCCCTTCAGTGGCCTGGGTGTGTAGGCCATGCTCCCTGCGCTGCCACTAAGGAGTACACCACGAGGTCCTCAGCTCCCATGTGCCCCTCCTCTCTTGTGTGGCACTCTACCATCAGTTCAGAGGACTCATGGTGGTGGGTCTACAAGGGGGCAGCTAGACAGACTTCCAGCCTTCTCCAGAGCCTCGCTCTGGATTTCAGTTCAGTAAGGCCACACAAACTTCATCCGCACGAGCTGCATCCATGTGTGGCGGCCGTGGTGCCAGGGCAGACCTGACCCCTGAGGCAGCGCTGACAGACAGGTGGCCTGTGCAGCAGACAGCCCCAGGGTGGGGTCGACTGTGCTGTGTCCTGGCGCTAAACCCTGCACGTCCACAGCAGGTCCTTTTGTGCCGCCCTGCCTGTGTCCGTGGCAGGCCTTCCTACCTTGCCACCTGTTTACTTCCAACCAGGAGCCTCAGACTCCAGGTGCTCTGACCATGGACAGGCGCCACCAAGCCTGTTAGCAGAGGGCTCCATGCCTGGCCACAGTGACTGCAGTGTACTGCTCAAGCCAGCGCCTTTGAGACTAAGGAGGAACAGTTATAATGAAATCTGGTGATGGCCTTGCGTTGTGAGGGCCTGGGAGGAGGGGATGCTGCTGCCCAGAGAGCCACGCTGTGCAGGCCTGGGAGCCTGGGACTGGACCCAGAGCACACGAGGGTGGTGACGGTCAACACAGGGCCAGGAAGGCCTCCACGCCTGCTGCCTGGAGAGACGCTGACTGGAAAGCCCGGTCAGGAAGCACCTCCCAGAGGACCTCTGGAATGCAAGGGCAGACCTGACCCCCGCGGCAGGTCTGACCCCCTGACCTCAGCTCGTCAGCTGAGGGCAACTCAGCCTCAGACACAGCCACGTAGGCCACAGGCCACAGGGGAGCCTCAGCAGCCCCAAGCCAGGCTGGCGAGGTCTGAGGAACTGCTGTGCCACCAGACCTGGAAGCCAGGCCTCTCTGCCTTGGACCGCCCTGGCTCCCAGCATGGCCATGCGGGCCTCCCCAGGGCCCTAATGCGCACATGGAAACACGAGCACCTGTGCTGCTGCCATCCCCCGTCAACACAGGGGCCACGGTGGGGGACAGGGCCACCAGGCTTGGACCAGAAGGACAGCGGCAAACCCATGCTGGGGCCCAGCTTCGCCACTCACAGCAGATTCCGCAGGTGGCCCCAGCCTGGAGGCTGCAGCAAGAGCCAACCTACATTAGCACCAGGGCTGCAGAACCGCCAGGACACGGCCCATGGTGAGCACGGCCCCTTCCTCCACCCTGCCCATGGAGAGCACAGCTGCTCTTCTCCTCCACCTCTACCCCTCTCCCCTCTCCCTCTAGGGCCTCCTTCCAGGAATCCCAATACTAAAGGAACCCGAGACAAGAGTATAAATGGGACCCACCTGCCACAGGGACAGATACCTGAAACTGACAGATGCAGCCACGCCCAAAGCCTGGAGCGGGGGGCCTGGCCCTGGGGAGCATCCTCAGGGCCCAGAGGCCTGGGAATGGCCTGAGTGTGCCAGGAAGAGGCTGGGCCGGCTCCAATGCCTGCCCTAGTTGATGGGGACTTCAATGGCCAGGAGAGATCCTGTGCCACGCCCATCTTATTCAGGATGTCCAGGCCATGCCAAGCAGCCTCGGAGACTGCATCCCAAGTGGGACATATGAAACCCCACCCATCCTCAGAGTGTTTCATCTCACAAGGGCCTGAGATTGACATGTCCATGACGTGTGAAATGAACTAACTGCCCTCCTTAGCACTTGGGCCCACAGAGTCAGGCAGCCATTTGAGGAGGTAAGGGTGCATGGCACTGCTCCAACTGCACACGTCCTAGACCCAGCAGCCTTCACACGTTTCTCTCCTGGTGGAGGGAGAAGGTGGTGGGTGTTATGTTGCTAGGGGAAAGGCATGTAGGCTCACACCAAAGCAGCGATGGTTTGTGTTTTGCATCTTACACTACAACTACCTAACGGCTGGCAGCAGGAGCAGCAGTGGCCGCACACCAGATAGGCACCTGGAGGTCTACCAAGGCCTGCGGCAGCCACCTGACCCTGATCTGGCTGCCACAGAGGCTGTGCCCTGTAGGAACAGGTGCATCCACATAGGGAAGTTGGCAGCCAGGTCTGCTAACCCAGAACCCCAGCCCGTTCCCTCCAGGCTGGCAGCGTCCAGCTCACCCACACACCTACCTGGTTTCCCCCAGCATTGTGACACTCATAAATTCCAACGACGCCATCAGCAAAATGTCCCAAAGTGTCAAGGCAGTTGGTTCCCTGCTGCAAGGCCCCAAAAGCTATGTCCTGGTGATCTGGGACCCTGAAATGCAACAGGAGAAGCTGCTCAGTCCTGCAGGACCACCAGTGACCTCAGCACAGCAGCAGGTACAAGAGGGAGGCCACTGGCCTGGTCTACATTCCCACAGCCAGTCTCTGCTCTGGGCTCCAGCGCCATCAGGTGGTGAGTGGGAGCAATAACCCCTTTTCCTCTGTACTGAGAAGTCCTTCTGGGAAGGAAACGTCCCCATACTCAAGTTGGCCTGTGGATGCCACATAGACAACAAGTTGGTTGCTTAGACCTTCCAGAGGCTGGGACCTGAGCCTAGCAGGGGACCTGGGATCTGCCAATGGTTAACCCCCACAGTGTGGTAGGGCTCTGCAGGCAAGGGCCACCAGCTCTGGAATGAGATTGGATGTCAGCCCCACTGCATGGCTGTGCTGGCCGCGAGGCTGTCAGTGAAGACCACGCTCTCCAAACCTCAGCTCACGCCCCATCCAGAACCGACTAGATGGGTCTCCACTGCAATGTGATGGAGATCTGCCACGGGAAGCAGGACATGGCGGCAACATCACAGACAGGTCACAACAGGTAGCTGGAGCCTCCCTGGCCTGCAGCTCGGAAGCAGGCCCACCAGCTGGTAAGGCACCCAGCATCTGAGCTGGGGTCTGCAGGGCACACAGGGCCCATGTCCCCCAGCCACAGGTGCCCCTAGCAATAAATAGCATCTCTTGCGTCACCCCATGGCATCATCACCAATATGTCACAGGCCACCAGGACAAGGGCAGCACGTGCCACTTAGGCAAAGTCCCTGCTGTGAAACCCTGTGGTGGTGATAGATAAGGACTGGGGCCCTGCTGGCATGCCTGTAAGCAGCCAGGTGGTCCTTGGCAGTGGCATCGATGGGTGACACTGGGTCCTCTCCCCTCCTCCACCTGCCAATTCCAGTGTCACCTAAATGCAGAGCAAAAGCTCCCGAGAGCCACCTGTAGCAGGAGACTCTGGAGAAGCCTTCCCAGCCACAAAGGGTGGAGCTAGTGCTCCTCGTCCCTGTGCAGGGGTCTGTGAGCTGCTGTTTGGGGACAGGGAAGATAGGAAGGTCCACGCTGCCGCGGCCTGACACACCCTTGCAGCTCAAGTGCAGTGGCTCCCGGAACCTAAGAGTTTCTGGAGCTCAGCACAGACAGAGGCCAGAGGTGAAAATGAAGCGCAGAAGAGTACTCTGCTGTCAATGGCCACCCGACAGGACGCAGGGCCAGGACTGCTGTTCCCAGGAGTGAGGCAGGCCCTTGTCTGAGTCACCATGGGGCCGTCCCTTGCTGGCTGGCTTCACCTCCCCTCTCCAGCCAGCAGGGCTGAGGGCAGGGGAAGCTACGAGGGGAAGAGAGCAGCAGGCCTGTGTGCAGCCCCAGCTGCTGCTCTGGAGAGACAGGTCCCTCTCACCACTGACCTGTCTGCTGCCCACAGGCCACATGCCAGAATGAGGTGACACCTTGGGACTGCTCCAGGTCTACGCAGAGTGGGGACAACTCCGCAGGAGACACGAGGCTGCAGCAGGCAGCTCAAGCGTAGAGGGCGTCCCTGCCCCTGGTCTCTTGCCCGCAGTGTGACCATCACCTCCTACAGCCTCCCTGACTATCTTTGCTCCTGAGACCTCACAGAGAGAAACACAGGCCCTGGGCACTCACCTCAGCTCTGGGTAGACATTCTCAAGGTACCACTTGAAGGGTCTGCAGTTCAGTTTGTTCCTGAGCTCCAGTCTGCTCTGGATACTGGAGGAAAAAGAAACAGACCCCTTCACACGCTGCAGGAGGACAGCTGTCTGCACAGAATAGACACCTGCTGGCAAGCCGGGCTGTCCAGGCTCTGGGTGCAGCCCCACCTGCCTCCACCAGGCCTGTAAGCCTGAGCAGAGGCTCCAGTTTACAGGTGTCCCCTAGGACCCCCAGGCGCACAAGGAGGTGAGGGACACTCACTTGCCATAGGGGACGTTCCTGGCAGAAGGCACTGCTGCATAGTAGAAGTTCTTGTACTCATCCATCCAGACCTCAGCCGCCCGGCGGGTGTTGCTAGAAACAAAACCGACCTTCCTGAGGGTGCTTCTACTGGCACCACAGTGCTGTGCCCCTCCACCAGGCACGTGACTGGGTGAGCTCCCTGGGTGTGGGGCAGCTCTGGCGAGCAGGCCCATGGAGCTGCCCCTGGTCTTACAGAGGGCACGGATCTTCCAGAGCTGGGGCCACTGCCGGAGCACAGGAGGCATCTATTTTAAAGAAGGGCCTGTGATGTACCAAGGACAGACCAGCGTGACCCTCATGTACCCCACGTGTCCTACAAAGAGGGCAGGGCCAGGGACCAGGAGGGACTCCCGCCTCCACAGCTCTGGGGAAAGCAAAGGTGGGCAGGAGCGGCTGTCAGTGTCACCTCCTCCATAGGCCCGACAGAGGGACTGTCACGTGGAAGTGCAGTGTGGGCCATGTTGGGGTCCCTGCTGGCCCCTGCTTGGGCTCACAGGTTCTCAAGAAGGGGAAGCTGCAGGCAGGACCCCACCATGGAGCGAGCCATGCTTCGTGGCAGAGAAGGTCCCGGGACCAGCTGCTCTTGGCTGTTGATATACAAAGGCCACTTGAGTGCAGCCTGGCAGCATGTCCACTACCGGGGGTGGCACGGCACCCTCTCAGCCCCCACATCTTGGACTCTTCCTCGAACTCCAGCTACAGTGACAGCTAACCCTCACTAGGTACCTTGGACAGCGTCCTGCTCAGCAGGGAGGCAACAGTTGCTACTTAAGGTACCTGTGTCTGTCTTCCCTGAGTGCAGGGAGAATAGGCCACCGACAGGAGCCAGCGATACCACTGAGGGACACAGGATGAGAAGGCACCCACCTGACCTGCTCCACCCCAGGAGATCATCAGGACTGAGAACGCAGGGAGGGCAGAGCATGGGAGACGCCAGGAGGCTCTGGGGGCACCTCACCTGCGGGCAGGAGCTGGAGGGGTCACAAGGTGCGTGGGGAGGGAGAAGGGGCATGGCAGAGGGGAGACGGCTGAGGCCCACACAGCAGGTGTGAGTGCGGCAGGGCTTGTGGGTGAGGAGACGGTGCTGCCCACCTCCCCTCTGCACGGGCACCTGCAATGCAGTGCGCACCCCCAGTGCTGGGGCCACTTGGCACATGCCAGTGGCCCTCCTCACGGGACTGGCCTTGCTACGTGACCTTGCCCAGTGGGCCTGAGCTTCCAGTCAGGATGAGACGGGATCAGATTCACGATGCCCTGACCCTTTCTGCCCTAGTGGCTCCACAGGGTGCTCATCTGGGGAGCCCACGGGATGAGCCTCACAGCGACTGCACCAGTTTTGTCCATTCAGCCAGCTGCTCAGACATTTATCTAGAACCTACCATACCCCAGTCTTCCAGGCATCAGGTCCAGGGACGCTGCTGTGACCCAGCCCTGCATGATTTAGCGCATTCAGATGGGAAGCGCTCGCATGACAGTGTTGCATATCACAGGAAGCCAAGAACCTGGAGCTGCGGGGAGCCCTTTGACAGGGGCCCCAGGGCCATGCCCACCTTGGAGACCCCTGACCCTGGCCCCCAGGGCCACGCCCAGCTCCACAGTGGACAGTGGCATGCTGGCCACCTCAGCCTCAGTCTTCCAGTAACTTACCGGGCAAAGACAGTGCCACTGCCACCTGGGAAGGTGTAAGGGTGCTGCTTTCGGAACACATGTCCCACACGACTGCAGGGGATGATCTCCAGGCTGCCGCCACACTGCCACACCCGGAAGGAGATCTCTGGGTGGGAATGAGACTCAGTGACCAACAGAGCCACCCCAGGTGCACAGTTGCCCACGTCCACCCCCCGCCTGCTCTCCCCGTGAAGGAGCCCCAAGGAGCAGCGCCTTCCTTCAGGACAGTCCAGAACGTTCTAAATGGAGACACGTGACACACCCTGAACAGTCAGACTCCTCAGGGCCCTCAAGAGGGCACATGTATGGGAAATAGCTCAGATTTGGACCAGAAACTTGGAGACGAGGGGCGCTCTTGGCTGGCGACCGGGTGTGCCCGGCCCTCACAGGTCTCGCCTACTCGCCCAGCTCCGACCCCACTGAGGGCCCTGAGATGTACACTGGGCTTTACTGCTGGAGACCACGGGCTCTTCATGCAGCTGGGCCCCAACCAGAGACCCTTCATGCAGCTGGGCCCCAACCAGAGACCCTTCTCCCAACCACAAACACCATGCTTCTCAGGCCTCGAGCTGCACTGGCCTCTCAGGCCACCCATGGCAGTGGCTGAGGACAGTGGAGAGACCCATAGCATGTCACAGCACCCAATGCCCAGGCAGGATGGTTCCCAAGAAGGCCACAAGTGACCTGCATCCACAGAGTCAGCCTGTGAGTCAGATGGCGGGGCCAGGCACTGTCTGGTCCTGGGCGGTCATCCTGCAGGGCTGTGGCACACAACTGCTCAGCACAGCCTTCTGTGCCAGGGGACGTCAGCAAAGCACCTCTCCTAACCAGCACCCCAAAAGCAAGGGACCCAGGTTGGACAGAAATTCAGATGAACCATTCTGAAAGGTCACGACTCCCTGTCAGAGAGGTCTGGAGAGGCTGCATAAGGGCCCTGAGAATGTGGGCAGGTGACCCGAGCCAGCACTGCTACCTGCTCCAGGCCCGTGGAGCCCTCCAGCCAAGCACCCCACCACGCAGCAGCACAGACTGCCTGATAAAGCCAGGTCGCGGGAAGATGGTCACTCACCAGCAAAGTGGGATCCTGATAACCATCCCTGGGTTATCAGGGCTGGGATGGGACTCAGTGGAGAAACTGGCCATGCCAGGCCCTGGGATGACCCCATCCCAGCCACCGCAGTGAAAGCTCTCCCACCCTTCAAGTGTCCCACAGACCCAAGCAGGAAGGGCCCAGAATTTCAGGAAGTAAAATCTAAATATCCCTTTGCTTCACTGGAGATCTGAACTCAGGCTTTTGCCTGGGGCGTGTTGAGCTGGGAGGGCTGCAGGGAGACCTGGGGCAGGTTATGACTGAGCCCTGCAGCTGCCTCCCACCTGGAGGGCAAGGCCCTTGGTGTCTGTCCCTGGGCCCTGGAGGGCCTAGCAGAGCTCCTTCCTTAGGACAGAGGCCTCAGCTTGCCCGGGCTCAAGGCTCCTGTCCTCTTCCTTGGCGGGGGCTCTGACTGCATGAGGACTTGCTGCTGACCAGGACCATGGGGGCTGGACTCTCCTTGGGCACGTCTGCACCCCACCTCCCCCCCACCCACAAAGGCCACATGGGTGACGACTGTGGGCAGGGTGCTCAGTGCCCAGAACAAGAAATTGGAGTCACGCTCAGGGCAATCTCTCCGCAGACACTCTGCGGCTCAGCTTGTGGCCAAGGGTCATGGAGGGGAAGATGCCCAGGACATGGGGACCCAGCTGACCCCACCCTACCCAGACACAAGGTAAAAGCTGGTGACAGCACACTTGCTCCTAATTGAGGGTTCACCCGACGCTCTATGTCCCTCGTGGCTTTGAAACGTACATGTTTTTTCTTTTTCTAATCTTTTTTTTTTTTTTTTGAAGTTTTTTAGAAGTTTATTTTATGTACGGAGCACTAGCGTGTTCTCTGTCACTGGGTGGCTGGGTGGCTGCCTTGGGCAATCCACTCAGGGAAGATCACTTAGTCCAACCTAATGAAGCCCATATCCTCTGTCTACAGACAGACACACTGCTGACACAAATTGAGGCCGTGTTTCTGGATCAGACTGTGCCAGTTTGAATAAAGGTGGAAAGAGGAAGAACCCCGGCCAAATTTTTGCGGGTGGCTCCAATAGAGCTATTGGTGATCCATCTTGATTTTAAGGGTGCAACGAGGCAAAAGGCTTCTTTTCCCTAACCTTCTCCCTAATCTCATTTTCTCTGAGTCACCTCTATGAAAACCCCTGTTCCTGCCAATGGGCAGAATCACAGCCTCTAGAACAGGAGTTCCCTATGTTTATCCTTTGCTAGCAAAGCAATGAACCTTCTTTTCCCTTTTTCTCAAAACCACGTCCTTGTTAATGGATTGGCATCGGGGATGAAGACTGAGTTTCAGCCTCCTCAGACGGGAGCCCAGCTGGCACCCATCACCATGTGTGCTGCCTGTGCACTCAGCCTGCACGTGCCCAGAAGGAGCCACCCGAGCCCCACGCTGCTCCATTGGGGGTCCTGCCACGGGAGCCTGGGGAGCAAGCAGGACTCTGTATCTTCTTCAGAGGTCAGTGACCGGAGCCCTCAGCCCCAAGACTCCACTCGAGCCCCACCTAAGGTCAAGGTATCCTTAAAATTCCAGGAATGGAGACCAACTTGAGGCCCTTCCATCCCCCTCCCTGCAACACAGGCTGAGACAGAGCAGTTTTCAACATTAAAGCATGAAGGGTCCTCAGAGATGAGGCGTTTTCTCCAATGACACGTCAACGTGATGGGAAACGACAGGCGAGACTGGGCTTTTAAACTAACAGAAACCACCTGAGTCTGTCGGAGTAAAACCGTCAGCAGAGCAGTGCCAGTCCCTGGCTGTCCTCCTGGGCACACCTGCCCAAGCACCAGCGGGACCCGACACGCAGCAGCCCCAGGGTCGGGCTGGGTGAGGCCAGCGAGGAAAGCACCAGAGCCCAGGCGAGCACGCGTAGTCTTGCTGGCGACCACGGCAACCAATACCCAGGGCCTGGCTGCCCCATCCAAGTACCAACAGCTCCCACGGCCGCTCACAACACCCTCAGAGCAGCCAGACCATGGCCTGGCACTCAGAGGGACCAGAGGGCCCTGCTTCTGTGATAGCGCAGGGAGCCCACCTGCAGGGTGGGGAGGGGCAGCTTCCCCATTTGGAAGGTGGCTCCCAAACCTCAGCCAAACGGCAGGTGGAGCCTATGCTTCCGTTCAAGGACCCCTGAATTCTGGCCTTGTCTCTGACGGGACGTCTTCCTCGGCACCCCGAGCAGTGGGGGGTGGGAGGAACAAGGTGGGCTCAGGGCTGGAGGCCCCTGCCTTGGCGAGCGCCTCGCCCCACGAGTCTCATACGTACCCAGGTTCTCTCCGCCCCACACGTCCATCATCATGTCGTACTTCCCCAGCTCTTCAAAGTAGAGCTTGTCCATCACAAACAGCCCACCAGCAATCATGGGGGTCCTGCAGAGGCGGAGAGGCCCAGGTCAAGGTGAGCTGCTGGCACTCCTGTCACACCCAGCCTAGGCTCCCTGACCACACACTGGCCTTCAAGCAGCACAGTCCTGCTGATCCTGTGTCCCACCACTGCCTCCAGACGCCTCCCCAGCCCCTGCCCAGGCTGTGCCGAGCCTCCCTGTGAGGGACCGACTGCTAGTGGACACTTGCTGACTGGGTGAGGTCCTTGGCCCTTCTGGGCCCTGCTCTCCTTACAGAGCTGTCGTAAGGTTCAGAGTGATATGGAGCTGTGGCCTGAGGCCCCCACTCTGCTCATGGCAGCACCACACAGCAGACAGGCAGCCCAGGGCTGGTGGAGCGGCCTCATGAGCACCCATGGGAGGGAGCTGTGGGGAGGGGAGGAGGTGCAGGGCGGTCTGCAGGTGCTGGGCTCTGGCCTGCGGGACACTCTGCACTTACTTTATAGGGGCGACCGGGTTCCCCTGCCGGGACCTTCTCTGCTCAGGTGTCATGTAATCCCACTTGAACACCAGGTTCCAATCGAAGCCTGTGGTGGGAAAGCGAGCAGTGCTGGGATGTGCATGCACGCGCTCCGGCCCAGCCCCAGCACAGAGACAGATGGCCTGTGGACTGACTCACACAAAACCAAGCCCAGACCAAAGGTGTACGTGGAAGGAGCGACTGGGGCAGTGGTGCTAGGCAGGGAGGGCAGGAGCAGCACTGCAGGCCCCTGACCCAGAAAGATGCTCAGGCCAGGCTTCCCAACACTGCAGTGAGCAGGAGGGCAGTGGACCCCAGTGGGGCGCACTGGCCTTGCTCTGGAGGCCCCAGGTTCCGCCCTGGGGCTTGAGAAGCGAGCTGGTGAGAGTGCGGAACCTGAAGTACACTGGGTCTGCCCATCCAAGGGCCATGAGAGGCGAGGAGGGGAGACCAAGCACCCCGGCCACTGCTCCCTGCCCCCTGGGACAGGGACACAGGGGAGGGGCATGCTCCTGGGCCTACCGACTGGGTCTCCTTGGTGTCTCTGATTCCACCTGAGACTATTCAGCAGTGGGGACAGGGTGGGGATGTGAAAACTGCCACCTGAGAGTGAACTAGAGGAAGGTGGCCACCTGTGTCTTGGATGAGGACGCCGAGGGCAGAGGTGACCAGCCCACCAAGGGCAGTGGGGCCCGTGGGGTGGGGGCAAAGTCAAGGCCCCGCAGGAGGGCCATGGCACTGGGGCCTCCTAGCGCCTGCTGTCCGTAAGAGGCTGGGGCCCGGTCTTCTGCGGAACTGTCTTCTCTCTGGAGGTCAGAACAGTAGTGGACCCTTGGCCCGTGGGTTGTCTGGATTAGGATATTTTCTTCTAATCGGCTAAAAACATTAGGTGGTAGGATAGATGTCTAGTTCCACATGGGAATGTAGAGGCTGACCAGCTGCACAGGGCTGCCCTGGAGTGGGCCCATGGGCTTCCTGACAAGCCAGTGAGAAGAGCACCAGAGGACACTGGCAGCTCTCCAGCCACCAGGCAGCCCCTCCCCTCGGGATCCCAACTGAGTTCCTACATGAGCGCCCAAGCTCGACGCTCCCTCACGGGGCTATACCCACGGGCATGGGCCAGAGGCAGCAGGAGGCTCCTTAGTGGCTTGAGGCCCTTTGGTGTGGGCACTATGCCTCTGATCCAGACCTCAGAAGTGAAGGGGGAGTTCAGTGGCCAGAGGCTGATGGGTAACCAGACCCGTGTCTTGCTTCACCCCACAGCTATACCTTGGCTTCAAGATCTAAGCCAGCTCCTGGCAGTGGAAGCTCCGGGCCTTTGCTCATTCTCAGGAGGGACAGAGGGTCTTACATATGTTGTGGCTGGTGCCCTGGGGGTGGACTTGTAGGTCATTTGTGCTGTCAGGCTTATAAGAGCCAGTATGGTCCCCTGGACAAATGCTGCCCAGCAGGGAGCAGGACAAGGTGGCTGGGCCAGGGCAGAGGGGTCAGTGACCAAGACACATGCAAGGGGCAGGGTCAGCAGGACATGGTGATCCCTGGGCACAGGCAGTACAGAGAGGCCATGGCCCCCAGCTCCACAAAACCTCAGTTCTGAGGAGCTATAGCCCTGCGGTCAGTGGGGGCCTGGCACCTCTGGTCAGAAAGGACAACACAGCCACACTGAGCCACATGGCTGGAAGAGGAAGGGTGGGAAACAGGGCCACAGCCCCTTCCTGACAGCCCTGGTAGCATGCAGAGGGCTTCCTATGGGCACACACGGCAGGGTGGACCGTGTCACTGCCCCTCAGACGCCAGAAACAGGACGAGTGGGTTTTGCACAAGGATGGACACCTACCGCCCTTCAGGTCTGCGGAGGCCCCCACGTACTGGAAATTGTCCATGTTAATGACATCGATGATGGGTGAGACGACACGAGTCCTGTCCTGCATATGTAAATAACAGAGAAGCAGTCAACATCCCAAACCAGCACATAGCCCTCAGAGCCCTGTCGGGGTCACCAGGCAGCCTTGACTGCTTGCATCCCTCTACTTGGGCCCTCAGGACCTCCCCCAACTCGGGACCCAATTGCAATGGGGCAGGCAGAGGGGCTGCCTGCATGAGAGGGGGTCAGTGGGGGACTGGGACACTCTGGCCATCTGTTCCCCCAGCTAAGGTAAGGACCATGCCAGGGACTGGTCCACCTCACAATCTCGCCACAGGATTCTGGTAAGTCCTAGCTCGGATGTGCAGCAAGTTGGCCCTGCACCCTAAGGCAAAGCAGACCTCAGGCTGGGCTGGGCTTCTCTGGACAAGGGGGTGTGAGGGGTGAGGAGCTGCATCCAGGTCCCTCCAGCAGAAGACAAGGGGGCCGCAGGGCCTCCCCGTGCTCCTACAGCAAGGCTCTGGCTGCGCCCCTTCTTGTGCCCACAAGAAGACTCTGGTCAGAGGCTGGGACAAAGGCTTGTTCCCCTTTCTGATCTTCAACCCTGAATGGCCGTGGCCAGTGTGGAGACTGCAGCCCTGCCTCACACTGACAGTCCATAGAGGCACACTGTCCCAGGCCTCTTATGCAGCCCTATTGGCCAGGAGAGACGGGAAAACCATCAGACAAGGGAATCAGAGGAGCTAAATAAGGACAGGCCACAGAGCACCAGGGGCCTCCAGCGCCACCATGTGCAGATGGCAGGCCAAGTGCAGTAGCCCTGGCCTGGCTCCCTCTCCTCTGGCTGTGGGAGTCAACAGGACACCTCTGTTTCTTTGGGCAAGATGAGGATGTGTGAGAACTCATCACCTCAGTGCTTCTTGCTTTAACTCGAATGGGCATGAGGCAGCTCTGCTGGTCCTGCCTCGAGGCAGGGGCCTGTGCACTGGCCAACACAGGTTGATTCTGGCCTGGCTTTTTAGGAGATGGCCTGGCAGAGTGGGCAGCAGCAGGCAGGTGAGGGCTCCGGGTCAAACCCTGGGGCTCAGCAGAACCTGCTTTGAAATCCTGCCACCTGTACCATTTTGCCCATCACCGATGGCCAACGACCCCTACACCACTTCCTCAACAGTCTAGAGGAGGCAGAACCTGCAGTAGAGACAGCGCATAAGCAGTGTCTACCATATCGTTCAACAAACCCAAAGCAGGCAGTGAAGTGTCATGACTATTACCAGCTTTGGCAATGCTGTACTTCATGAGTCACTGACCCTCACCTGTCCCTCTGTGCTACAGCCCGAGCCATTCGCGTCTCCCTGAGCCCAGCTGTCTATGCTGCAGCCTGGGACACCTGCGTCTCCCTGGCCCAGCTGTCCCTCCAAGCTACACCCTGGGACGTCTGTGTCTGCATCTCCCTGGCTCAGGTGCCCCTCTGTGCTGCTCCCTGGGACGTCTGCATCTGCATCTCCCTGGCCCAGCTGCCCCTCCATGCTGCAGCCAGCACTTCTACCTTTTTTCACCTCCTCTAGTCATGTTTGCCCTCCCTGTCCAAGGAAGAGTCACAGCAGGAAGGACAGAAAGTCAATGAAGGCGGCCAGAAGTAAGGAGGCCACCCAGCTTTATGATGATGCCCCTCGCAGGAGGTGGTACCCGAGGGGGCCCCAGGTAACCCTCTGGAGGCCTGCCCAGGCACTGAGTGACAATCAGCACGTGCTTCTCCCTGAGCCTAGCATGATGGACTGGTCTTCAGTGGGAGCCGAGGCTGGCACTGCCCCAGCCTGAAGTCCCAGGTCCCCTCACGCCCTCAGAGCTGAGGCGAAGAAGCAGCTATGCCTGAGCCAAAGCTGCCTTCACCAGCCACCTCCCAGCCCCTGCTGAGCCTGCCACCTCCTCGCACAGGGACCCCACAGCCCAAAGCACTGTAGATGAACCCTCAGAGACACTGCCTTCCTCCCCGCACCAGGGGCACCCACGGCCAGCCCAGGACCACACGCCCATGTGCCCCGCCCCGGCCCGGTCCTGGGCCTCACCTCGGCCACCCGCTCCAGTAGCGGCTCCAGCCAGTGCTCATTACACTCGCAGTGGCTATCCAGGAAGGTCAGGACCTTGGCCTGGGCAGCGTCGGCACCCCGGACCCTGGAGCGCATGAGACCTGAAAAGGAAGGCAGAAGTGTGTCAGGGAAGCGAGAACCCAGGACGGCTCAGCGCCTGGCAGCCTGGCCCCCCAGGGCTTCTCTGCAGTTGACTGCTGCTTGGGAAGGCCACCCCCTAGAGCCACTGGTCCAGAAAGATCTTCGCATAATAAAGCCTCTATCTAGCAAGGAAGCTAGACCTTCAGAAGGACTTCTCTCTGGCACAGCCACAGCTTCCAGACTGGCTGGGCCCTGGAAGATGTCAGCTCCACATCTTGGGACCTGGTCGCACCGCCCCCAGCCTGAAGCAGACAGCTCTGTCTTCTGAGACCTATCAGAGCCAGAGACCCAGTGGTGCTGCTGGGCCAGCTTGAACGCCTGCGACCCGCTGGCCACACACACTTGCTCTTCAAGACACATATCTGACTGTCCTGGATGCTTGTGGGGAGCCCCTTTGGATGACCCATGCCTTCCATCCTGAAGCAAGAGGCTCTGACCCATCACTACATTTCATGGTGACTTGGGCGTTGTCCCAGCCCAGGAAGTCGAAGGCGTGTCTTCAGGTGTAGGCATGTCACCCGTGGGGCTGAGCCACACTCACCTGTTCTTTTGTAATACTTTGCCCTGTTTGGGATGGAATGTTCCATGGAAGCTCCCTCTGTGTGTCCCCTTCTCTTGCTCTGCCCTTGGGTGTGGCCATCCTAGCTGTCAGTTAACCTGCTGACAGCAGACATCAGGAAGCTAGACTCAACCCCCTGAAACTTGACCCCTTGCCTCGTTTGAATGGCTTCTCCACAATAAAAGGATTCAGCACCTGCTGGCTGCCTTTCCACAGACCCCTAAGATCAGAGGAGCCCTCAGGACCCAAAGAAAAAGGTATCTCTGTCTCTGTGTGGTTATTTTGTGCAGCCCAGTTCCCCTGGGTGACCCTGAGTGTCTTAGTCGTGAGGAATGCGACAGATGCTATGCTTGGGGGCTCTGTGTCTGGACTGGACGAGAGGCTCACACCCAAGGAGGATGAGGGCTCTACATTCCTCTCTATGCAGTTAGAGGAGAGCCACAGTGACCCCACATAGCTGCTTGCCCCCAGGGGCAAAGGACAGAGTGACCAGTTGACTGCAGAGCCGCTGCAACTGGACAAAGCCCAGCCTGGAAATTGGTATGAACTCCAAGTAAGACATAAAGCCAATCGTGTGACAGAGCCGGAGGAAAGAGAAGATGGAACCACAGAGGATCAACTCCTGAGAGTAGGCCCACCTGGCCCAAGGCCACATTCAGAGGGTGCTTCCCAAGGCACCCCACCCTGCAATGCTGCCCTTCTAGCTTAAGGTGCCAGAGGAGAAAGCGTAGGACTTGAAGAGTGGCTGGGACTAGAGAAGGAGACCCTGAAAAGGGCCAGTGATCATGCCTGGCTAACTCCTGAGCTAACTTCACAGGCCTGGACTCCAAGAACCCCCGTAAGAACAACCAGAGAGCTGAGTTCATCTGCTTCCTGTTGTAGTGGACACAGCTGAGAATTCAGTTGCTATCAATCCCTGTGGACACAAGGTTTGGAATTCAAGTCTTGCCAAGTTAGAGAAGTTTGGAGAACACTTCAGTTCTATGGAAACCCAAAGGATCACATTCAGAAATGCAGACTACTACCTCAGAAACAAGAGACTCACCCAGGGCATCCCCATCCTAGATAAGCACCTGTCCATCTACCAGAGCAGAGTCACCACCAGTCACTTCACTGTCCTGCTTAAAAGAGATCAAGACCCTTCAGAGAGAGAACATAACCCAGTATCTCCAATATATCACCCACAACATCTATTGTAAAATAAAAAATAACTAGACTTGAGAAATTGAAGAGTATGGTCCATCTCCACAAGAAAAACCCAACAGAAGCATCCCAAGATGACTCAGATGCTGGATCAGCAGACAAGGATTTAGAATGGCTTTTATGACCATGTTCAAGAGCTCATGGGAAGTGAACAGACAAGGGCCTCATCAGAGCACTGGAGCCTGTCTGGCAGACACAGCGGGGTACTTGAGAGCCAGGAAAAGGAAGTGATGGGAGACAAGCAGCTCCCTGACCGGTCTCAATCACAGAATGGAGCTGGCAGAGGGACCTGTGGACTTGAAGACAGGCCAGGGACACGGGCCCTCCTGACAAACAGAGAGGAAAGACGTCAAGGGGAAAGCAGGACAAGTGCTGGAGATGCAAATGGCCAGCGAGTCCCAAGTCTGGTGGAAAACGCCACCTCATACCTCCCAGAGTCAGTGAAGCAAAGCAGCCCAAATGTAAAGGGGACCCAGGCCCAGGGCTGTGAACTGGGACACCTGTGATGAGGGCTGGGTGCAGCCAGGAGGCGCCAATGCCCGAGCAGACCTGTGGTCCTGGCAGAAAAGCGCAGGCCAGGCAAGGACAACACGCAGCAACACTTCTGAAATGCTGAAAAGCATCCAAGGCCAGCTCAGAATTCCAGTCAGAAACGCTCTCTGGGACGAGGAGGAAGTTCTGCAGGACAGAGGCCCACATGCCGTCACTGGCGAGGGAAAATCAAGATTGCGCCTGGGGTGGCGGAGATGGCCCCAACGGGGGACTCTGGGCAGGAAAAGCTGGAGGCTCTGGAAGCGAAGAGGAGGGCAGATCCAGGGCATCCCTACTCCCTGCCGACCTCCTGAGGAGGTTCCCAATCCCTGAAGCGAGGCAACCGCACTGTGGGGTCGAGTGGCAGGCAGAGGAGACGGTTCCGCAGCGGCCCTGGGATGGGGCAGCTGAGCTGTGGCCAGGGGCTTTCTGCCCACCTCCTCTGCCTCGTCTTCAGCTGTGCCCGAGTAGCTAGCCCAGCCCCTTCTCGGCGGCCACCTTGCTCCATGCAGCTGGCCAGTGCTGTAGGAGCACCTGCCTGGGGTTCAAGGCAGGTATGGCCGCATCACACAGCTGCTGCCCACTTGAGCTGTCCAGACCTGACTGCCAGTCACTCCCACACGATGCCCCTCACCCCTGCTAAACCCAGCAGTGACACAGTTCCTCCCCCACATGAGCACCAAGTCCAGAGGTCCAGAGTTAACATGCAGACACACGGCCAGTTTCTAAGCAGCTCATGGACACCCCCCATAAGGCCAGCAAGGGACAGGCCAGTTACAAACTGCAACACAACAGCCACTTGCTTCCTCTCCCTCTCCCCACTTCTCCCCTCCCCTCTCCTCCCCTCCTGTGTCCTGGGCCAGCTTCCCCTTTCTAGGCAAGGGAGTGAGGACACTCAGCGGAGACTTCACCATTGCCTCGTCACTCAGGGGACATAAGGACCGCAGCAGGTGATCAGGTCTGGGGCTGGTGCCAGCCCAGCAAGGCCACAGTGCACATAGGAGCAGGCTATCGGCTGGGCTGGTGAGGTCAGGTGCCCAAGGCACTGCTCCCACACGAGGGCCGCTGGGCTGATGGGGCAGGCTCCTGCTCAGACACCCCCTTCCTCCAGCGCAGTGGCCATGTGGGGACGAGGAGGAGGGCTGTGCCCTGGCCGGAGAAGCACTGCCACTCCTGAATCCCTGGAAGCAGCATGGGTGCCATGGCTCTGCAGTTGGAGAGACTGAGAGACCCCGATCCCAAGAGGGGCCTCTCTCCACGCTCTGGTACCGGGACACCAGCTGCACCAGCCTGAGCTCCCCAATACACACATCCCTGGGGAGCCCTCCTGCCACGGCCTTGTGGCCTGCTCCTGGGGCTCAGCCCTGTCCAGTGACAGGAAGCCCATGGGAAGGTGGACTAACAGGGGTGTAAGCACCAAGGGCAGCGTGTCCCCATTCTGGACGGCCCCCTGTGGCAGCTGCCGGCCGTGGATCTGCTCTCTGGTCAGCCGCTGCAGCTAGGAGCATTGAATAGCTTGTGGCTGAAGCTCTTCAGGGACGGGTCAGAGTCCCTGAGCATGAACAGAGCTTCTCATGCGTGAACAGACCCAGAGCACACATCTCTGATGGGTTAGGTGTCCGACGTCCTCCCTGTGTGTGCTGGGACAGGAGAGGGCACAGAGTGGGACCAGAGACCTGATTGCTTTCATAGCCAGAGAACTGCCCAGTTACCACCAGGCTGGGGAGGGAGTCTTACCTTCCCGCCGATCGTTCCTGAGGACCCGCACTTTCTCAATCTTCCCCAAGAGGGCCCCGTCCTCAGCTTAGGGAGAGAAGAGAGGGAGCATGAGTCCCTGTGGCTGGGTGGGCGCTGCCCCTGGGCCGCGAGAAGCCCTTCCCTCTGGCCGGAGCCTGCCCAGTGCTCTTGCCCACAGCCTGCTGGGGAAGGACCAGCACTCACGGTCATTGCTGTAGTCGTCCACCAGGATAATCTCTTTGATGAGGTGCGGGGGGCTTCTCTTAAGCACACTGAGGAGAAACAGAGGACAGGGCCGTGGCCGGGTGCAGGCAACCGGGTGGGGTGTCCTCTCTTGGCCCCGCCTAGGCTGGAGGGGCCATCGGCTGCCCAGGGACAGAGCCACCAGGTGGCCCACTCACGGCCCCGCTGGACATGCTGACCCAGCTAACTGGGCCACAGCTGGTGTCCTGGCCTCACCTGACCACGGTCCTCAGCAGGGCCGACCTGGCTTCGTTGTGGAACGTGATCACCACGCTAGTGGCTGGCAGGTCCACACGCCACTGCTTCCGCTGACACCTGAGGGAAGAGAAGGTCTGTCTGTGCAGTGTGGCACAGCTGCTGCGCTGGGCAGCTGGGAGACAGAGCACCCTCAGGACGTGACCACAGGGAAGGTCCAGAGTGAGCTTAGGGATCAGCACATTGAGAACACACGGGACCAGGACAGTCTAGGGCTACCCCAGCCTGCTGCAGACGCAGCTCTGGCACTCTCACAGCCACCGCAGTGCCCAGGGCAGGCCACTGTGCCCACTGCCCTGCCTGTACTTTCCCCTCTACCCGGCACGAGCAGCCAAGGCCCACAGCAACTCCCCTCCACCTGGATGTCAGAGTGCCCCACAACTGTGTCCAAGCAACCAGAGTGAGGGTGGTGCCCGCAGCCGGTGGAACGGAACACAAGGGCACTGCTTCTCCTGAGCAGTGAGCAGGGTTCTGGGGCCACTTCTCAGCAGAACATGAGACCAGGCCTCCAGAGGTGGGCAGATTCCACGCAGCACTTCCTGAGTCTGTGCTGCAGAGACAGAACTGCAGGGGTACCAAGTGCTACCTACATGACAAGAGTCCTCAGCTCCAGACTAAAGTGCCCAAGCATCGCAGGGCAGAGAGCCAGGCAGGCCTGCAGACTCCTGGTGCTGCTCGGGGCAGGGCTGCACATCCCAAGGGAACAGCACCCAGGAAGGCACAGTCTACATTGCTGCAGGAGGCTCAACTGTAGTGCCAGGCCTGCGCCAGGAGCCAGAGTCAGAGTCCCTGAGTGTGAACAGAGCTGCTCATGCTGAGAGCCTGGCTCAGGGTCAGTTCTGAACAGTCATGCCAGCCAGGCAGTGGTGAGGACAAGGCCTGGCCCTCAGCTGGCTGGGCCAAAGGTCTGCCCACACAAGCTCTTCCACGCTGTCACCGTCACCTGCAAGGTTGTTCTGCAACCCAGGCATCAAGCACTCTGCCAGTGGGACCAATAGGTGACACCTCTAGGGACCTGCAGGCCATGAGGCCAGGCTCACTCCTCAGCCAGTGTGGTCCCCGGCCAAGCTGAGACAGCTCCGCACTGGGCAGAGGTGGCTGTGGCCAAAATGTCCATCAGTGAGATGCATGTGGACCCCAGCAGCTGCTGAACAACTACACACAGTGCATGGTGTGGGCTGAGGGACATGGCAGCCTCGCCACCTTTTCCTGTCAGACTGGGAAGACAATCTCAAACACGAGTTAGAAATATAGTACATCTACAGAGCAGTGAGGTGGGATCACAAAAGGGACTTCCCTGCTTCACTTGAGTCATCACAGCTGGTCTGTTTTAATTAGTCATGAAAGAACCACATAACAGTCCCCACTGTTTGGGGCAAATGATTCTGTGACTACACAGAACCTCGTTACCACTGAGCCTTTAGTGACAAGCAGACCGGTAGCTAGAATTGTTAGCTGGTCAAATCAAGGAACTGAGACATCTCCAAAGCTTCAACTGTGAATGCTTTGCTGGACAGCATCAGTCCCAAGATAGCAACTGGCGAGCAGTGCCAATGAAGGCCAGAGTCGGGGGTGGCACCTCCCACACCTCCACCTCAATGTGAGGCATGGGGCTGACTAGGGCTGCCAACCTCCAGGCAGAAGCAGGAGCAACCAGTCTGTGAGCCTTCCTGCCCTGAGGGCGGAACGTGCAGACATGTGCCCAGGTCCATGCTGAACCACAGGAGTAGGCACTACAGAAGTCAGGAGAAACGGAAAGCATTCTGCCCAAGGGCCGTCTCCCTGCCAGCTCTCCAGTGGCCATGGCAGGGCTGTATCCAGGAGCCAGCAGAGCTGGTCTGAGGTCAGCAGCAGGAAGAGCGGAGGTTTTGTCCTCTGGAAGCAGCACGGTGCTGGGAAGAGGCGGGGCTTTGGGCGACTTGCTCCCAGGGTTCTTGTGGTCATTCTGGAACCTTCCAGTCCAGTAAAATGGAGATTTAGAAACCAGACTCACAAAAACTTGAAAAACACCAATCTGGGCTCACGTGGCTGAGAGCTGCCGGCATCAGTATCTGAACTTCGAGTGGCTGCAAACAGATGAGCTCCTGGCTGGGGAGGGTGGCTTGTGGTGCAGGTGACTCTGGGTGGCAATGACCCTGATAGGACGACCGAAGGCTTCCGTGCCACACCAGGGAGGGCCAGGTCTGTAGTGGGAAGGGGCCGTGGCGTCTCCTCGCCCTGCCTGACTCATGGCCCCTGGTGCTCAGCTGGGCTAGTGCCCTGCTCCTGCTGGCTCTGGACACCAGCTGTGTGCTCTGAGGCAGCTGCCTCACTCTTCTGCACACCGGTCTTCAGGTCACTGAAGGAATACAGCAATGAAAGTGGACACTGAGAACCAGAAGGCCACCGTAAGGAATAGGGGATAATCGCATGGGCAACCATGCATGGGTGGAGGCCACCTGCGTACAGAGGCCAGGATGGAGTCAGCATATGGGCTGAGGCCCAACAGGGCCTGGGGGAGGTCCGCCTAGCCACAGGGAAGAGGGCACCTAGCCTGTAGGAAGAGCTTGGGGTGGGGGAAGCAGGGCGGCCAGAGACCCCCAGAGTATGCATGTGGGCTCAGGATACCAAGAGGCTGGGGAGGGGCGTGGCCAGCTGCAAGACCACACCCACTCTAAGATGGCTGCGGAGATGGGAAAGGCTCCACCCTCCTGAAATGCCGGTAGAACTCAGGTCCTGCAAGGGTGAGGACATGCGGTCTCAGTGCCTTGTCCAAGACTGAAGACCAAGTGATCATGGGGGGCACGGAGTCTGGAAGTCCCAGAGCAGGGCAGCAGCAGGTGAGGGCCTTGTGTTGTGTCCTGGTGTGGCAGAAGGGTAGGCGTGGACATGGGCACCAGCGACACACACAGCAAAGCCCTGAGATGGTGGCAGGCACTCTCAGCCAGTCGAACACACTGACCCTCAAGTTCTGGCTCTTCAACTCTGGACCCAGAGGAGGTGAGAAAGTGCCTCTGTGCCCAAGGCCACCCATGTGGCACACACTCTGTCTAGCTTTACCTCTGACAGGGCCCCGCTCGGGCCACGCCCCCTGTGTGCTGCCCTGTGGGTACACACTGCCCACCTCTTCCGCTGGACAGCCCAGAGCAGGACAGCCGGGCAGGCTCCTTGGTCTCTAAGGTTGCTGGTGTCAGGTTTACGTCTGCCTCTGCCACTTCCCACTGCAAGACTTGCATGGCCACAGGCCTGTGGTGTGTCAGAGAGGCAGCTGCCCTGGCATGCTCCTCAGGCACGTGGCCACCTGGGCCACTGGGTTTTCCTCATGAGCTTCGGATCAGCTCCTGACACTGCTTAAACAACACAGATTGATTCCTGACACTGCTTAAACACCACAGATTGATCTGAAGACGACATTCACCGTCTTAGAAACAGAGCTTTAAATGTCCTTGGACTGCACCCTGCTGCTTCCCGGGAGGCCCTGCGTCTCGCACAGCCCTCCTTCCACATGGCCCGGAGCCCAGCAAGGGCTCTGTGGCTGCCCTTCCTCCCAGGCTGTCGCCACTGCTGGATTGTGAGGGGCTGTCTGCAGAGGCCTCCAGGAGCCCCACAGCCCTGCCAGTTGGCAGCAGGTTTTCCTCCAGCTGGCCATCTGCCTGCCTCTCCCCCAACACCAGGACAGTCCTGTGTCAGCCTGTGCCAACGATGCCACACATGGTATGCAACTGCATGAGCAGCAGAGGGCCTCGCCTCCCATGAGCACATTGGTCACCACTGAGCTTGGCACTTGATGGGCTCCTCATGGGCCCTTGAGCACAATTCGGGACACTGAGCACGACTATCCCTTCCTACATCTATCACAGTGACCCACAGCTCTCCCCCTCGAGCCACCATGATCACGGTCCTGACGTGCATGTGCTGTGCATCGGGAGTCACTGGCATTTGCCACCCTGCACTCCTAGGATACACCTGGTGGCCCTAGTTGAGACACAGTGCTGTGCTGGGCCAGCAGCTAGTCAGGTCTCCTGGACGCACAACGCCAGGTGTGACGGCCTCCTCCAGCTGCACAGAGGGAAATGGCGTCTCCTGCAGACTTAGGTGAGCAGGGAATTTCGAGAAGGCAAATTTTTTAGTGGAAAAGTTTCTTTTGATGGTATTTATTCTTATTATTTATATTTTATTTATTTATTTATTTATATTATTGAGAAAAATTTATATCATTGAAAAAAATTTGCAATTACATTTTTCTTTAAAACCACATTTTAGTGCATACTTGTTGCAGATTTTATATCAAATTTTTTGGAAAATCAGGGAAGTGGCCATGATGGAGAGGTTTACAAAAAACATCATCAAGCTGCTACTAATTATTAGGCCATTTTGGATAAGATACCCCAAAGAACCTCCTGGAAGGACTGAGAGGTGGCCAGGGTTGGGTGGGCTGGTGACCCAGAAGAGGACAGCACCTGGAGAGCTAGGCCAGCACATGGCATAGCCCTCGAGCCAGGGTCAGAGGCTGACCGAGCTGAGCAGAGGGAAGGCCTTGCAGGCCAGAACCAAGCCAAGCCCCTCAACACAGGGCTGGGAGGCCAGAACTGGACCCAGGGCTTGCTAAGACGTTCAGGGCTTGCTCTGAAGGTCACTCCCGAATCCAGGTGGAATCCCACAGGACTACTTCCCAGCAGCAAAGGGGGAGAGCAGCTGGCCAGCTCTCCTGCACCCAGGCAGAAGCCTGCTCAATGCCAGCTCTGGCAGGGTCTTGAGTGCCATCTCAACTGTCTGCAAACCACAGGCCAAAGCCAGGGAGGGGAGGACACAGCTGCAGCCTTGAGCCGCCTCTAAATCTCCACACACCTCGCAGCCAGCTCCAGCCTGCACCCATCTCGGTGCTGGTGTTCATCTTCCCCATTCCACACCCTCGAGGTCACCCTCCAGCCTTCATCCCTCCTCAACTGCTAGAGTTCCCTCGGCCGCCTCTAGGGCCACCTTCCACAGAAGCCCACCTGGACAGCAAGTGCTTCCAGGTCTCCACGGTCGACCCAGGTGAGGCAGGTGGCAGCTTGGCCCTCTGCCTGTCAGGAGCCTCGTGTCCTGGGCACCCCTGTGTACTCGCCCGGCTGGGCGTGCCAATCCCGGACAAGCTCTCCAGCACTGTTTTCATGTGCTTGTGGAGCTGAATAAAACCTGGTGTGGGGCTGCCTGTCTGCTGCCCTTGGGGCCCTGGCTCCTTTTGCCTTCCCTGGAGGCTGTGAGGGGTCAGTGTGGCTTCTCCTAGCTGCCCATGCTCCTGCCTCTTGCTGGCCATGCTCCTGCGACTCCTGATGCCATCAGGGATCCACAGCACTTAACAGGTGGGCGGGTTATGCCAAGCATCCCTCTCAATACCACTGGGCCTCCTGATGCCAACACGTGTCCAGGTAACAACCCACCATTCCAAAGATCCAAGGCAGGAAGAGAACGAAGGCGAAGGCTGGAACATCAGTGGTGACAGAACTGCGGGGAGCTCTTGGGCAGCGCGTGGGCTCTGGGAGAGCAGGGGCTGCCATAGTAGCTCCAGAGCCATGTCCTAGGGAGGAACATGGCCTTGCCAACACTGCCAGACCCTCACAGGTCAGACGGGGCCGCACACCTCATCATAGGGGACAAAAGCCACAGAAGAATGGGAGGTCTGGGATTCATGCCAGGTCTGTGGGATGCCAAGTTCGTTCTCAGTGCCCTCGCCAGTACCGCTCAGCTCGGTCACAGCCAAGCATGACCTAACAAAAGCAGATGGCAGAGATGGAAACCACGGTGTCCCCCGAAGCCACCTTCTTCAATGTGCTCCGCTGGTTGTGTGAAGGAGGAGAGGCCGGCCTCCCAGGCAGCGCTCACCAGATCGGTCCTCCCAGACCTCGGTCCTCCCAGACCTCGGTCCTCCCAGACCTCGCTCCGAGGACATCGAGCTGCCTCTAGATCAGGCTCCAGGTTGGCTCTGAACAGAACTTAATTCAGCCGAAGTCCAGTGACGGTGGAAGGCTCCCAGCTGCTGCTCTAACACGCACCTGACACACCCAGTGGCCAGAAAGGAAAGCAACCCCAGACCGCCCACACGGTGACACCTGCAAACACGGTGATACCCACCCACACGGTGACACTCGCACACCGCTTGGCAAGCTCCCACTCTGGAAATGCTAGCAACACAATCACATGTACACCGGGGCTGCAGTGGGCAGCAGAGGAGCTTGGCCCATGTGTGGATGGGTACCAGGAAGGGCCACCCTCTCAGCCCAAGGGAAAGGTATACATGAGTCTTCGGAAAACCAGCTCTGAAGCCACCGTGACCTGAGGCCCACCTCCTGTGCAGACGGCACCCCAGGTTGTCTGCATAAGGCTCTGCTGGAGCCATGGCTCAGGCCAAGCCTTCTTCAAAGCTCTAAGTCACTGGGCAAGTTTCCAGCAACCTGGGTGCTGTGGCTTCCTCCCTGCGCCAGGAGACCACCCACGTCTGCATCACAGCATGTAAGGATCCTGAGTGGCCTGGGGGAGCCTGAGGAGCTGGGCTGTGGGGACAAACCCCTGGGGCCCTCTGGGAAGTGCCAGGGACTCCCCGGAGACATGCATGTCTACACCCTTGACGACACATGTAGCTTTAGGCGCGACTCCCTGGGTCCCAGAGGCCCCTGTGGCACCCAGGGCCCGACCCCAGGCCAGGGCTCCTACTGCAAACGGGTCCACTGGGTGTTCAGGAGTTGACAGAGCCAATGTAGCCAGCAGCACAGCACCGGGGCCCAGTGCAAGGCCTCAAGAAGGACCTGTGGGCACAGGAACCCTGCGTGGCGGCGATCTGGGGTGGACATGAGTGGCGAGGTCGGTGACGTGACGCATGTTGTTCAGCACGTCAAGCGCACACCGCTGCGGTACTCAGAGCTGCCTGGGACACCAAGCTAAGGGCAGCCCTGAGGTGACCAGTCTCCACCATCCGAAGTCCCCAGGGTGGGGAGGGGCCTTGGCCTCCCACACTGCTCTTCTCTGCAGTCCCTGAAAGCCCGGCCCAGCTTTACACTCTTTTATCCTGGATGTCCCTTGTCCATGCATTCTCACAGCAAGGCTTACCAGGCAGGGTGACAACAGCTGGACCATACAGGGGTGCCCTGCACGGAGCTGGAGCCTGGGTGCCCCGACACCCACCCCAGGGCCCTGAGGAAGTAAAGCCAGGATCCAGGTGTGCAGAGCGGTTGTAGCAGGGTCCACTCATGTTCTGAATTAGCCCTTGCTGTCGGCCACTGCGACTGAGTTTTAAAATGGACCTGATTCTTTCTCCCTCCCTGCTCCTCCCTAATCACAGGATGACCTTTCCCCCATGCAGGCAGGGCTATCTGTTCCCGAGCACACACCCACCACAGGAATGGGGTAATCCAGACTCTGGGGGTAGCAGCAGACGACTTCCCAAATTAATAGGTGAATTAACAGCTGCAACAGAGACCACTTGGAGCATTGCCTTTGAGCCACCTCTTTAACAACCCCCACTCCTGCTGATGAGCAGAAGCATAGCCTCTGGGATAGGAGTCCCCTGGCTTCTCTTTCGCTAGCAAAGCCATAAGCCTTCTTTTTCCTTTCTCAAAACCGTGTCTTCATTACTGGATTGGCATTGGGGACAAGGATCAAGTTTTGGATAACAGGGTGACACACCATTCCTGTGCCCATGTTTCTGCTCCATTTAGCACTGACTTTGCTGGGAGGTCGACTTCCTCCTCCAAGTCTGCACATTTCGACTTAAGCCATCCCAGTAAGCGAGGATCTAAAGTTTCTTCCTTCTAAGGTTGTCAACAGTGGAAAATGTGTTTTGTGACTGGATCCTCAAAATAACAAGTGCTCAGCCACTACATGGCCAATCCCTCCACTTCTCCCTCTGACTCCGCCTCTGCACGCTGCCACAGGGCAGTCCTGGCTTCTCCCAGCTTGATATCACTGGGAGGGGAGACCCCACGGCACAGCAGGGCAAGCCTGGCCACGGGTGCGGGCTGGGGACTCACTGGTCGTGCCGCGTATCTGGGATGGCTCTGTCCATGCGCAGCCTGTCGCTCTCCACCTGGTTGAACTTGTTGCGGGCGTAGGGGTCCTGCCCAGAGCGCACCATCGTCCCGCCCACGTAGGCCTCCTGGTTGAAGTCTGGCCACCGCACTTTCCCTGGAAAGAGCAGAGCAGAAGCATGGTGAGGCTCACTCGGGCCCCAGGCAGGGCTGGCTCCTATTAGCCACCAGCCCCCAGGCGGCACTCTCCATCAGCACACAGCAGGGCCAGAGCCGTGGGCCAGGAGCAGGTGGCAGCGGGAGATCACATGCCCACGGTCCGCAGGGTGAAGGCCAGGCCTGCACCTCAGGATCCCTCGGGACAGCAAAGGGAAGCCAAGGGCCAGAACAGTGTCAGGGTGGCACCCTGCTCCAGAGGCCGAGACTCCCTGCTTGCCCACCTTTCCAGGCCCAGCCAGTCAGCCTCCTGTCCCGCAGCCCAGGCAACAAAGGTAAGGCTCGTGCTGTGGGCTCAAGATGACTCCCTATGGCTCTGCAGGGAGAGTGGTTCCGGGCGGGTGGGCTCAGAAGGGCCCACGCGTGCAGCAGTCCTCCAGGAAACAGCCAGGTCCCGTCCCCAGACACCCAGCCAACCAGAGGCAGCGACTGCAGGTCGCAGGGAGACCAGCACTGGCAGCACACATGCACTGGCCCTTCCCCTTTGTGGGCTCCTTCCCTCCCTGGAGTCATTTCCCCATGCTGCCTGTGCCCCATTCCTCCCCTGAGGGCAGGGACTTCAGGGGGAAGGGTGCCCCCTTCCCTCCTCAGTGCCCAGGACACATCTGTCCACCTTTCTCCTGTTCACATGTCCACTCTTAGCTTGTTTCAGGAGACTCCCTGGCTGAACACCAGGTGGGGGGAGGAACGCTCCCTCTGTCCCTGTGATACAGAAATATCACACCCCAAGAACTGGACATCCAAGCACCCCAGGACTCCTTGGGGACACCCTCGTAGTGTAGCCCAACTGACCCCATGGAGAAAGTGCAGGGTGCGATTCCCAGATGCCCACGGGCACGGCGGGGACCTCCATTCCCACACAGGTATCTTCCTGTGAGAAAGCCAAAGTGGCCCACCTGGACACTGACCATGGACCAGAAGCCAGCACTGGACGAGGTTCTTCAGGAGATTGGGGTAGGGCTGGTGCTGGGGACAGGGCTCCTGGGCAAGCCGCTGCTGGTCGCAGGCCCAACCAAGCAGAGCCGGGTGAGAAGGAGGGGAGGAGGGCACCGAGGCAGAGAACTGGCTTGGGCAACCCCGCCTGCAATCTCTGCCGCACTGCCACCTGCCAGGCCAGGGATGTGGCACTGCCGCACTGCCACCTGCCAGGCCAGTACGCGGGACTGGATCGGAAACCATATCTCCCACCACATCAGTCTAGCCAGCAACAAAAACTCGTGTTTCACAAGGACTCCATGGGGGACCGTGGTCCAGCTCTGCAGGGTAGGAAGGGAGGGGGCAGTGGGAACAACGGCCTCACCCAGTGGATTCCACAGAACCCAGGGAGGCTGTGAGGTCGTGGAGAAGCAAAGCTGGCCAGGCACAGCCACACAAGGAGCTGGGTAGAGCTTGGCACTGCACAGAAAGAGAGGAGGACAGGAGGGGAAGCCCAGCTGCTCGGGCAGGTGCCCCACACCGTCCTAGCAGCATGACTCAGGGACACCTGCAGAGGGCAAGGTGGGTCCTGGGGTGGCGCAGGCCTCCAGGGAGCAGGGGCCTGAGACGACAGCCAGGTGCTGGCCTCGGAGCCACCTGGGGCAACAGGACAACAGGGGTGCACCAGCCACACACCAGTGTGGGGCAACAAGACAGCAGGGGTGGGCAGGTGCCCAGCCCAGCTGCTGCGAAGTGTGGTGCTGCTCTGCTCTACAGTGGACAGGATTCCGCGGCTGGCTCAGGGCGGAAGGTGAGTCATCCCCCTCAAAGCCCACTGCTCCTTCTGCAGCTGGCTCTGATGGCCACAGGCTCGTGACACTGGGCATCAGAGGCCTGGCCTCTTGCCCACGAGCCTCGTAGCCGTGGTTGTGGCCTGGCCAGCACTAGAACTTTCTTCCCCTAAACACAGCACTTCTGCGACGTTCAGGGAAACATCTTCCATACAGAGTGCCCTAGAGATGCTGACAATCCATCCTCTCCATCTCGCCAACTTACCCTCGCACATTTTTACCTTCTGTGCCAGAGAGCACAGGGCTCTTCTGGCCAGGCACTGGTCCTCTGACCACTGTCCAGTCAAGCACCAGTGGCTGATGAAAAATGAGCTGGTTTGAACCATGGAGGGGCTTGAGCTAGTCCTTGTGCCAAGGTACTCTTACCCACAAAGAGACCACGGGCCTATGAGGGCCAGGCCTGCCCAGGAAGAGATGCCACTCGAGGTGCCCTCAGGTAACCGCTGGCTCTGGGCACTCAGCTGGGAGGGTCTGCTGAGGACAGGACAGACCTCTTCAGCCTCCGTAGCGCTCTTGATGAGTCCATCTTTTTGTTGACTGGGACCCCTCTGGAATCAGACAAGACTGCAGCAGGATCTGTGAGACATCTGACCCCAGGTGACGGCAGGGGAACTGGACCAAGTAGTGGGGTGGGTCCCAGGCTGGACCCAACAGGCACCAGCCAGCAAAGGCCAACAAGACGCGCCCTCAGTGCCCACTTAAACAGCTGTATCCACAAGCTTGGTGCGGAAGGTGACGTGGAGTCCAATGGGAGCAGAAATGGCCATTCTAGCTGTGGTCTGGACACTCCTCAGTGAGCCAGGAGATGCCCCTGTGGCAGCCAAGACTGAGGAGCCCACCCACAATGTCCCACAAGCCCTCTGACCCAGGGACACTTCCAGCTGGACTCTGGTGGGCCGACTTGCTTAGCAACAAAGGGCATCCCAGGGCACAAACTGCGGCACCAGACAGACTGAGATGGTCCTTTTCTCCACGAGAGCTGGCAGGGGACTGGGACCTTGGCAGGCACATCTGGGATGCTCCACGTCATACTCTGGATGTCACCACGTACACGCCACATACCACACTCTACCATTGGAAGGGCTGAAGATAGTCTGCTCTCTTATGTGGGGGGACGTAACTGGCTCTCACACTAGTGACAGGTCACAATCCACGGTCTGAATCACCACACCAAGATGGAACAGGTATGCCCCAGGGGTGCCAGGAGGAGCCCAGCAGAAGACATGGGGGTGCTGCATGCTAGGCAGATGTAGCTGGCGTGCCCCACCCTCCTGGGAGGGAGCCTGGCAAAGGCAGGGCCCACCCCAACAGAGCCCTCCTCCCAGAGATGGCCATGCCAGGAAGGCGCCTCGGCAGGCAGCCCCGGGTCCCCAGGCTCAAGGTACTCTCCTGGTCAAGGCACACCGATGCCATTTTATTCGCTTTAAAAGTAGAAACTACAGTTCTTCCTTTAGCAGGTCCTAAGGCCACACCACAAAGGGGAAGACCAGGCAAGGCCAGCTGCAGATAATAGTCTGTTTCAATGACTAAGGCCCCAAATGGACTCTTGGCAAAAAAGGGAATTTCCTTCACCATGGAAAACCATCTCCTGAAATAGGATCCTAAACTATTCATTGTTTTAAGGATGAAAAACAAGACATTCAAAGAAGCAATGAAAAGTTAACAGAGCTGGGGCTGTGGCTCAGTGGTAGAGTGCTTGCTCAGCATGCATGAGGTACTGGGTTTGATCCTCAGCACCACATAGAAATAAAATAAAGGTTACTGTGTCCACCTACAATTAAAACAAATATTTTTTAAAAAGATTTTTAAAAAGTAAACCAAAAAAAATATCAGACTTGACAGGATCAATTCTCTTCATTAATTTTAAATTATCGTGCCCATACAAGAGCTAAAGCACAACACCCTGAAACAGTCTCAAGCCCAGCGAGGACAGAAGCCTGCGTGCCCTTGTGGGGCTGCCCTGGCCTAAGAGTGCATGGAGGTCCTGGTGACTCTCCTTGACTGTCACGTCAGGACTCGCTTCCTCTGAGCAGCTTCCTGTCCATGTCCTGCCAACTGCACCTTCACTCCACAGTGCTCCAGATGTGGAAGGGCGTCTGCCGCAGGGCAGAGCAGGGCACGGTAGGGCAGAGCAGGGCACGGTAGGGCAGAGCTGGGCACGGTAGGGCAGAGAGCACCTGCCAACCAGCGGCTCTGCGAGGGAGGCCACGCCTACCACCACCCAGACGCACAGCCTGAGGGCTGCTTCCGTTTCACAGAGTAAGAGGCCGAGCCCCAGAAATCAAACCCACACAGCAGGACACGGCTGTTAGACGTGGACCGACCTCATGCCCAGGTCTCCCTGCGCCTTCAGCCCTGCCTAGCACTCACTTTGAGCAACACCGAAGTGAAGCACTAAGGGCACCGCACCTGGCAGGACAGTGCCCAGCACCCTTCCTGGCCTGGGCTCCCGGCCCTGAGCTGCCAAGCGCACGCACTCCCCTCTGCGGTTCAAGGCAGAAGGCCTGGGCACACGCCTCCATGGCTGGAACCTTCTGCAACTGCTGAAGCGAAGCCCAGCCGAGGCTCCACCTGGGAGCCCTCACTCCTGGAAGCCTTCCCCAGACGCCCAGCCAGCATGGCTTATCCCTGCCACTTCCACCCGCTGGGGTCTGGGAAAAGCATCCTGCCACTTGGGTACCGTGGCCTTTTGGAATCTGGATCCCACAAGCCCATTTCACAAGCACCTGCCTAGACTCTGCTCCCAGCCCTTGCCATCCGCATCATCGTCACTGGACCAAAACCAACTTGCCAGAGCAGATACCTCATGTGTCAGCCACCCCTCAGGGGAGGACCTCCCTGCAGAGAGTGCGCTGTGTCCACCATTAAAAATGAGGGTGGGGGGCTGGGGTGGTTGCTCTGTGGCAAAGCGCCTGCCTAGCACGTGTGAGGCACTGGATTCCATTCTCAGCACCGCAAATAAGTAAATAAAATAAAGGTCCATTGACAACTGAAGACACGGTGGTCCTCAACAGCCTCACCACACTCTGGCTGCTGGTCTGAGCCTCGGTCTCCATTCTCTGACCTGCTGGCAGGGCAGGGCCACGGAGGTCTGTTCTTCCTAACACTGGCAGGGTCAAGGGAGCAGGCCCCAGGGAAGACAAAAACATCAGTGACCGACGACATGACAACACAC